TTTGTGGGGAGGGGTTGGGGGGGGGGGGCATAAGGATTGAGCAGTGGCACATTTGGGAAATGTTCAAAGAGGTTGGCAGATGGGACAGGAGACAAGACATATTTTAAATTTTATTTAAACCTACAATGTGCTCATTTATTTCTTTGGCTTTCCAACATGTCATCTGGAGGGCTGATGGTCTGCTGTTATTTACAGCTGTAATGTGCTACCAGTGTGTGTGTTCCTTTGACAATTTTGCTGTTGATGTGGCATAGCACCTATGAGTATGATGATAAATGTCTTTTATCAAACATATGCTAGTTTGAAAATCACCCTGACCCTTTTTTTATTATTATTTTACAAGACGTATTTGCGCTATGATAGACAAAGCATGACATAAACATAAATAAACACAAATCACTGAACCCCAAATTCTTATATTCTTACTCATAAAAACATGGCCAATATGTAGAGCCATTTGGAGGTGCCACGGATTTTGAATAGCTGTAATTTGGGGGGTCTTTTCACCTCTTTTTTTCTCTCACAGTGGTGCAGTGAACCCATTAGAAATACCTGAAAGTTAAACACTTATTACAACCCATTTATAACATTTTTACTGTAGTTTTAAGTCAAATATATTGAATGGTGAGATTTCCACAAGTAAAACTGCATATACGTAGAAGCTTAATTTAAAGTGTCACTTTTTCTGTTTTAGGAGTCACAAATGACACAGCATAGTTGGACAGTTGGTTGATTGCTCCCATCATGTGGCTGATCAGAAGAACTGCAGAAGGAAATAATGAATTAGATTTATAAGAAATAAAAAAGTTCAGTTCAGTTCATTTTATTTCAAACATATACATTCACCAACATTTCATAAAATCCTTCCAAGCAGTTGTTTGAAAAGGAGTAGGCAGAAGTATATACTTATTTAGCCCTACCCCCTCAGGTTTACATCCTCATCATCTCAATTTGAACAACAAAACATTTACAATGCCTTCAAACAAAAAGAAAAATAATTCTCACGTTCAACTAGAACTATATTTAGATTTGCTCATTTGTAGAAGAGATCAAACATCAGTTTGCATGCCGTCCTGGGTTACTTGCATTTTCTTCCTTCTTATACTTATTTAACATTTCTTGTTTTGAGTTTTATTTTGAACTGGTTTATATCACTACTGACCTTTATTTCTTCTGTTAACTCATTCCAGAATTTAACGCCCGCTTATAGAGATAGACATCGTTTTCAATGTTGTTCTTACTCTTTGTACTTTTAAATTCAACTTCCCTATAAAATTATACCTCCCTTCTCTTTCTAAGAACTGTTTACTTATTTCAATTGGGAGCATCCCTTTCCTTGCCTTATATATTATTTGTACTGTTTTAAACTTGACCAGGTCCTGGAATTTTAAAGCTTGCATCTCAATATAGAGTGCGTTTGTGTGAGCCCTATACCCCTCCTGATTTATTAGTCTAATAGCCCGTTTCTGCATTATGATTGAATATTACTTTTATATGTGTTTCCCCAAACCTCTACACAATAACTCATGTATGGCAATAGTAAAGCACAATATAACATATATAATGTTTTCCTATCCAGAAAATGTTTTACTTTCCCCAAGACAGCAATGCCCATGCGTGCTAACTTTCCCCTCACATAAGTGATGTGTGATTTCCAACAGGCCTTAAGATCAATGATCACCCCAAGAAATTTATTGTGTTAACCCTTTCTAGATATACATTATCAACACAAATTTCAATGTTAATGTTTTCCTTATAGTTTCCGAATAACATAAATTTTGTTTTATTTAAATTTAAGGACAATTTGTTTCTATCAAACCACTTCTTTAATATATTTAACTCCTGTGTGATCACCTCCACAACCTGTTGAAACTCCCCACTTGAACAAAGTATATTGGTATCATCTGCAAAAATTACAAACTTTAGGATCTACGATACTTTACAAATATCATTTATATACATTATAAACATTTTTGGTCCCAATACTGATCCTTGAGGTACTCCACACTCAATATCCATCAATTTAGATTAAACTCATTTATTTGTACATATTGCTGTCGATTCATCACATAGCTTTTTATCTAATCCAATACCACACCCCTAAACCCATATTTCTCCAGTTTGATTATTAGAATTTTGTGGTCAACAGTATCGAATGCTTTTTTTAGATCTAGAAAAACTCCAAGTGCATACTTCTTGTTATCCATACATTCCGTTATTTCTTCCATTAAATCAATCAGTGCCAAAACTGTTGATCTGTTATTTCTAAACCCATACTGGCAATTTGCCAACAGATCATGTTTATCCACAAAGTTATTAAGTCTTTTTAGAAATAGTTTTTCCAGTATCTTAGAAAACTGGCAGAGTACCGACACTGGTCTATAATTTGTAAAACAATGCTTTTCACCTGATTTATAAATGGGGATAATTTTTGCTACTTTCATTTTTTGTGGAAAAACCCCTTCCTGGAAAGACAAATTAAAAATATATTGTAGCGGTTTTACAATACCATAAATTACTCTCTTTACTGTTACCATATCAATATCATGGAAGTCAGTACTTGTTTTGTTCTTAAGTCCACTGACAATGTCATATATCTCCTTCTCTTCCACTGCTCTTAAAAACATTGAACTTGCATTCCTTTCAATGTTTCCTCCAGTCTCTCTTTCTATCACATCAACCTTTATTTCCGCAGCTAGTTTTGGCCCTATATGTACAAAAAAAATCATTAAATTCATCTACTACTTCGTTCATTTTGCTAATAGTATTTGTCCCTTCCATAAAATACCCAGGGTAGTCATTAGTCCTTGGTGCATTTTTTATTATACTATTTAATACATTCCATATCCCTTTCATGCTATCTTTATTATCTTCTAACTTTTTGATGAAGTATTCTTTTTTACAAGTTCTCATTATGTTAATTAATTTATTTTTATACTTTTTATATTTCTTTTCAGATTCTGTAGTTCTCTTTTTAATGAATTCTCTATATAAAGTGTTCTTTTTTTACAGGCATTTTGCAGTCCCTTCGTCATCCATGGCCTTTCTGTATACTTCTTTCCCGTTGACTTCAATAAGTAGGCAATTTTTCTCTAATAAGGCCATGAATATACTTAAGAATGCCTCATAGGCTTTATTGACATCCTTGTGTTTATATACAATAGTCCAATCTCGTTTTATTAACTCATTTTTGAGACACTGCATTGTCTTTTCTGTTCTAATTGTTTTACATATCATCTTACCTACATTTCTATGAACTTTATAGCAACAGTCATAAGTTACAAAAACTGGTAAGTGGTCACTTATATCATTTATCAATATCCCGCCTTTTATAGTTTCTTCCATTACATTTGTAAAAATATTATCTAATAGAGTTGCACCATGAGTGGTTATTCTCGTCGGTCTTGTTATCAGGGGAAATACTCCCATACAATACATTGACTCAATAAATTCTTCAGTACTCTTATAATGATTCGGGTTCAATAAATCAATATTAAAGTCTACACAAATAAACATTCTTTTCTGATTCAGATTTGTGTACAAGTCCTCCATAATGTCCTTAAAAGTCTCAATCTTTGATCCTGGTGTTCTATATATGCTACTAACAATGATATTTTTCTGTTTTTTCATGTATAATTCCACTGTTATACATTCCATCACTCCATCTACCACCCTTGTCATTTTACTCATTTTTTCAAACCTTAAATTTTTATCAACTTAGAGTGCTACCCCACCTCCTGTTTTATTTGTCCTATCTAGATGGAGGAACTCATATCCTTCCATCTCAAAATCCTCTTCTTTTCCAGTGTTTATCCAAGTCTCTGATATTGCTATCACATCAAATGGTTGATTAAACTGTGCTATACATGCTTTAATAAATTGAAAGTTTGCATATAGACTTCTACTATTGAAATGAACCATAGTTATATTCTTACCCCACTCTATGTTCCTTTTAAATTGTTCCATTGTATAATAATTACAGTCCTTTAACATTTTAGTAAAAAAATTACAGTCAGAATCTATATTGCTATCATACCCCAGTGTTCCAGTTTCAACATCCATTTGATTTGTTACTTGAAATCTGTCAGCCATCTGACTTTATTAAATATCTTATCCACACACCATCACCTCTAACAGTACTTCGTCTAGGCTAAGTACCATCCTATTTGACAATTCATTAAAAGTACCATCGACCATCCCAATGCTTTGCCTTAGATTTTATCAGCCGTATTTTTCCAGGTCCATCAGCTCTTTAATGACTAAGACCTGTGCCTGCTCCGGTGTTCCATTTAACTTAATGAACACCTTACAATCTGTTGTCCAGGTTAACTGTATTTTCTTCTGTTTTCTTAATAATCTTGCTTGTCTTGCAATATCTGCATTTTTCTTGGTTAGATGTTCATTAACATACACATTTGTTCCTTTCAACTTTATTCCTTGCTTCAGTAGGTCTTTTTTCTGCAAATTTTTCTGAAATAAAAAAGTACAATAAAAATGAATAATGAAACAAAATGAAAATCGAAAATTCACTTTATTTTATTTCAGATTGTAATTCAAGCATTTATGAGATAATCTGTTAAATCTTTTACATCAAAACTATTTATCCCAAATGGTTCTGCACAAAGTTTTAAACGTTTTCATTTTATTCCAAGAAGCTGAATTGCGCTGTGATGTTGTGGTTATATTGAGCAACAATGTTTAGACTTTGAGAACGTTTTTGGATTGTGGGTGCATTTAAAATGATTTTATAGTCCAATCATTGTACTTATGAGAACAAATTATGCAGTGTGTACATCCAAAATAAATAATTGTGAACAAGAGCGGGAGATGTGTGACGACTTTGAATTATTATGAGCAGTTAACAGTGTATTTCTAAACAGTAGATAATGTGGGAAAGGTCCATTTGATTGATAAGTAGATAAATACCATCGTTTGTTGTTGTTTTGAGGTTGTCGCAAAAAACTATTTACGGTAGCTTCTGTATGACAATGCTGTCGTAATACGTTAGTTTCTTCTGTGCTGTTTGTTAGGCAGGTTGTTGGGGCAGTCGGCTAGCTAACAGCGGATTAGACTACTTCAAGTAATTATGACACATAAATATGTTAAAGAAAAGATTGGTGGCCCTGTTTTTTACCTGCTCGAAGCTGCGTTTTCTCTTCGGATGAAAGCAGCCGAGACGTCAGCGTCGCATTCTCTCCAAATAGCTACAACAGAGGTTTGTAGCTGCCTGCTAATGTTCGCTAACGTTAACTAAAATTGAGAACAACGTGGCCCACTTTTCTAGCTGCGTTATAAATTTCGTATCCAGTCGTGTGTTGTGAATATGGAAGACATTGAAGAAGATTTAATAGAGCAGGAACAACCCAACATCAGCGGCAAACCCTTCAATGTTCCCTTTCGATCAACTCGGTTGCACATCCAGCGAAGTAATGTTTGCTCTCGGGCGTATTTCGTTGTGGTCATGGTCTTTTTCCATGTTTACATTCTTAATGTCATCGCCCTGCTACTCTACGTGCACTACAACAACGGTCCGGGTGATTTAGTTAGAGGGGACGGGGAATCATCCGCTACAGTCAGCGGCAGCAGAAGCAGTTTGCCCCAAGCTGCTCCATCGACGAGAGAGCTACGTGTGGAGGACTACAGTCAAAGTTTCAGTCTGCATCGCATGGAGGGGATACGGGTAAGAGAAGAGCCAAAATATGTGTACTACTGAATTCAGGCGATATTTGGCCACCAGGATGTTTCCCCTTCCGAAATGGAGAAAATGGGACAAGTTAGCAATGTTGTATTGCTTTTTGCACTATTTTCACTATCACCAAGACACCCTCCGCTCTGTCCTTACTGTAAACAAAGTAAAAAAAAAAATACACCTTCCTGAGCGTCAAGATGAGTGAGGCTACCAATGCAAATTCACAGGGTGTCATGTGGATAGAAGAATTTTCAAATACTAGCATTTCAAGTTAATGTATGGATAAGTGTGGGAGACTATTTTAATGTTCAGCCTGCACAAAAAACTCGTGACCGATTATAATCAGAATTTAAAATGTTTTACAATTAACCACACCTTTAAATTGTAGGGGCCAAGGGGGAAAAAGAGACAATATAAACAATGTCTGAAATTACTTTCTATATTCCTGCAGGTTGGACATGTTCAACGGGTGTCCATTGTACCAGACAGAACACATGAGATGAGGACGCTCAGCCTAAAGCCTCTGCTTTTTGGTAAGTCTTTAAGGGATGGTGCTTATTGCAGTCTATCATTGAAACTCAGTTTGACACACACTTTAATAACATAACCAGTTTTTAGCTCGTTTATGAGATTGACCAAAATGTTGCTACCTTTTCAACAAGTTTGATTTGATTTAGGGCTGCACAATATTAGGAAAACCTGCGATATTCGATAACAGTGCTTAATATTGCGATATCGATATTACTCACAATAAATGAACAAATACCAAAGTATGCAGTGTTGATGTCGTCAGGCGTGTGACGTCTGCTCTGGGTTCAAAGCAAACAAAAACTAATGCATGAATTCCATTACAACATAACATTTTTATTGAAAAAATATGCACCTGCACCTGCTACTGTATTAGCAGCTGCACCTGCTACTGTATTAGCAGCAAAACAACAAACTGCATGCATGCAGTTTCTCAGTGACTTTAAAACATCACCTCCACCGTAAAACTTTTTCTGATGCTCCAAATACAGAAAACATCCCTTAGCAGGGTTTTTTGAATAAATAAAAAAAATCTGAAAATAAGTTTAAATGTTAAATAATAGTTAACATCACTTAAATGCAACAGCAAATTCTCTCATTGCTACTGAGCATTTTCTCCACTTATGTGGTTATGATACAAGGCTGTTGCTGTTATTGTGAAGTGAACTGTGCTGGGCCAAACTAGGAGAATATTAAGATTTTTTGAGGGATAGAGAAAAACAATTGTCTACCTTTCAGAAGAGGAACTGGCAAAAAAAACTACATGGAAAATATGTGAAAACGTTTGTTTTTAACCCCAAATTGAAGAAGTTTACCTAGATCTTAAAAAGCAGCTCAGATGATGAAACTGCAACTATGATTCTGATAACAAGCTAACAAATTGAACCAGCTCCTCTAAGATAACCGGCTAGCAGAGCTTCTGACTGACAGTTTATGTGCAGCAGCAAATCAACTATCCTGAATAACAAGGTTATAAAAGCTCATAAATGAAAAATCACTTTGATGCGTGGGGGAACTTTTCCAGGCCCCCTTTAGCAGGGTGGGACTGGGAGGAGAGTGCTGTAGCCTTTTAGCTGGAAGCTAACCGGAGCCTGGGGCTAACATCACCACCCGGTGGAACACTAGCGACATGGAGGTAGGTGGGTTGGTTCACCGGCACATGTCGGAGTCAGCCCGGTTACTATCAGCTGCTTAACGACACCGAGCGGACTCACGTTCACGTTTGAAAGCAGCGCTGATTCCAGAAACCTCAGCACAAAGTGAGTTCGTTAATCTGAGCCAGCATGACGAACAAGGGAAGGGCGCCGCTAACTCAGTTCGGGTGTTGCGTTCCACCCATCCTAGGGTCTATGTAGGGGGCGGGCGTATTACGTGAACGGACCCATCTGATTGGCTGCATATCAGAAGGGCTACATTTGATTGGTCAAATAATACTTCCCCGTAAAAAACAGAGCTGGTTTACAAAAAGTTGATGAATGACACGGATGGAAATGTTTGAACCAAACATTTATCGCCATTTTTGACGTGCTTTGCGATGGGCCTATCACACGTCCTGTTATCCCGATGACGATAATTTTTCGATATATTGTGCAGCCCTAGTTTGTTTGTTCCTTAATTGTCTTTTAAATTTAAAAGTCAATTTTAGAATAAATTGAATTAATGAAAACTAATTAAAGAAACATATTTCAGTTTGCTTTGCCTTTTAACTTTTTTTTTTAGAAAAGTGACAAATAGAAACATTGCTGCAATCAGAAACATACACCAACATTTGGTCAATGTATAAAAATAGAGTATGTACATTTTATTAAACATTATTTATCACCACTTCAGAAGCAATACAAGGGTATGCTTGATCAGTTTCCTGCAATATGTTTTTTATTTATATGTTTATTTATTTTTTGCACAATTTATTTCTCTCATAAGGGAATTTAAAAAATAAAATACGTATTATTTACAGCCGTAGGTTTCTACATGCTACTCTAACCATAGTTTGGTGATTCTGCTAGAAATATTTCTGAGAAACATTAATGTCGGCATTTGTGACTTTTCCATCTCCGTGCAGCTGCCATTAGGTTCTTGTCACCTCTTTGCCAAGCATAAGCCTTGCTGACCACCAGGTGCTCCCCCTGCACCGTGCCTGTCACTAGGAACGTGCCTCCTCGCGGATGTTTTTGAGTCATGTTATGCACACAGGTAGCATCCCTCTCCAGCCACAGCTCAATGCAGGAACGTAACTGTCCTCCTAACAGGGGCCCGTGCTTTAAGACGTCCAGTTTAGCAGCCAGTGAGAACTGAGCGAGACTTGCAGGGCTATATTTGAGCCTCGTCAGACGCAGTTTCACCACTGAAAAAACAGAAGAATAGATAAAAGTTCTCTTTAGCTAGAACAAACAAGTGTAGGTGTAGAGTGATCTTATAAGTGGACTAATGCTGATGCTCACCAAAATCACTCCTACAAAAGGTCTCTAGTGTGTCTTTTGAAGAGGAGCCCTCCTCCAGCTCGCAATCTCGGCAGCTCGCCTGAGGCACTGGAACAGTTAAACCACCGAATTGGTCAGTTGGTTTAATGAAGTTCGCTTAACTGTATATTTACATTTTCTTACCTCTGTGCGCTCCTATGTGAATGTTCGTGGTGTTTGTGATGGAGGAGATGCACACAAGGTGGTCTGCAGGATACTGGTCACACCGGAGAATTTCTGGCCACGGGTAACCATAACAACTCATGATTGGTGCACAGCTGTCCCGCACAGATTCACACAGACTTCTGCAGGGTGATATAAACCTGTAAAGAAGCCGAGGGGGTATGGGAGATGATGTTGATGATGATGCAGACTGGTGGAAAAGTTTGATTTTGAAACTGGTTTAATTTATTAAGCCTTTGCTCCTACATCACATGGATCCACCTTATAGGATGACAAATGCATTGTAAACAGTAGGGGTAGACCGATGTATCAGCAGACCGATATATTGTGCCAATATTTGGCATTTTTTATGCATCGGCGATTCGGCATTGGCCAATGTACCTCTTTAGTAAAGCTGATTTCAAGTCGGGCACGTCCCTGGTCAGCCCGGTGCTGCTTCAGATTGTATTTAAAGTGTATTTTAACATCTGATTTATTAAATGCTCAAAACATTTTTCCTACTAAAATTTGTTTTTTATTTACCAATTTTGAAATTTTAATACTTGGCCAAATTACTGATTTGCTTGATTAACTTTAGTTAAATGTCTGATTTCAACATTGAGCAATGTACAAAATGAAGATTCAACAGCTGGTTACATTTGGTGGTCAAAAACTAATTCAGCTTCAGAATTGTTGCGCATCAACTAATGTTAAAGACAAGTTTGCATGCAAATAAGTTGGAAAATATCTGGATATCGGCCTTGAAAATAGGCACAAAATATTGAACAAGTGGAAAAGTAGCACCTGAGTTTTTAAATTTTTTTTTTTTTTTTGTCGTTGTTGTTTTTTGCTATGTTTAGCATGGCTTCAACTAGCTCAAGCCCAGTCCAGTTATCAGAAGTAGCACACATAGATGGGGCAACAGTGAATTATGGGAGTATTAAACAGAGGAAAATTGGCAACTGGGGTTGTTTTTATTCGTTTGCTAGTTTAGCCTGGTTTCTACTGGTTAAAGCCCAGTTCACTTGTGGGAAGGTTTAGCACACCTAGGTGGGGCTTATAGAGAGCGGTATTTACAAAATACTAAGGACTCCTAAAGCTAAAATGTCATCACAGTTCATGCAAATAAGGTATTGCATTTAAAAACATGACTAGTTTTTCATAAACCTACCGGTCAAGACAGATGGGAGCAAAGAGAGAGCAGAGGAATATGCGGGCGTCTGGGTGGCACTCTCTGGCGAGTAGAGGCAGCCAGCTGGCGCTCTGTTGAACAGCTTCGGCTGGAGAATCGTGGCCCAGCAGGTTAGGCATCCTCATGGAGGTATAACCAATGTTCTGGCACAGTGCCATTCCAGGTGGGATAGGCACACAGTAAGAAGTGATGCGGGGCTCCCATAATTGGTCATCACTGAACGAAAATGAGGACCTGAAGTTGAATGTAGTACCGATCTCTCCCCACATGTCCCCATTGTCTCCAGCTGCAGCTCCTGGTTGTAAGGCAGAAGGATCTCCCAGTTCAGTTTCTCTTCTGCTGTCAGCTGTTGTCTGTTCTCCACCCTTGTCCTTGAGTCCAGATCGATCCCTACCCTCGGGCTTTAGGCGTCCTTCCAGCCCTGTTCTCCCTCTACCAGGCCTGGCTAATGGGCTGCTAGGCCCAGCAAGCAAAAGGAGACATAACAGAGAAGCTGAACATAATAACATCTCTGTTATAAAACGTAGCTGACCTGAAGCTGAAACTGGTTAGTCGGATTGGTCCTGAAGAAGTGCGGATCTCTGTGTGAAAGTGGAGGAGAGGATGTGAGAATAGGTGTATTTATAGTGGGCGGTAAACCGACTTGCATAGGAAGGGGTGAGGGGAGGTGTGGAGCAGTGGGAGAAGGGGTGGGATACTAACGATATGTGCCTTCATTCAGACTAGATATGCACATTTGAAAATAAAAAAGATTTGCAACTAATTAAATATATTTTTCAAGGCTGTTCTTTAGTTTATGTGTAGAATTATGGAAAATGCTAGATCTCACATTTCCATCCTACTTTCAAGTCCTGATCTGATTCTTCTTTAACAAACTTTGTTTTTATCAAGTTTCATCATTTATTCAGAATTTTTTATTATAGCTTTTCCCTGAATAACCAAATGTTCTTAAAATACTGACATGACCGTTATCGCTCACACACAGTGGTGTGTGTGCGTGTGTGTGTGTGTGTGTGTGTGTGTGTGTGTGTGTGTGTGTGTGTGTGTGTGTGTGTGTGTGTGTGTGTGTGTGTGTGTGTGTGAGTGAGAGAGACTGGAAAACAAACAAAAATGTGTGTTGTCCTGCTGTGCAGCCATGGCCTGATTCTTGTTCTGACAAGCAGGTCACTTCCTTTCTGGGGGGGGGGGGGGGGGCAGACATTTGTGGAAGAGGAAGGGTCAGTCCCTCTTCATTCATATCAGTTATCCAGATTAACGAGGCTTGACTGGACAATAGGGCTTAACGGAGAGTACAGTGTAAAAGACAAACAAACAAAACACAAACAAAGCTCCTACTGTAGAAGCAGCCAACATACCGGAAGTTTTTTATTGTAGGGGGAAACGGTCAAGAGACTGCTTGGATTTCAACTGGAATGGGAGGAAGTAATGGCATGATGCTTTATATTTATATTTGAGTGCTGCTAACTGAATATGTAGAATTAACACAAAGTATGTAAGATTTTATGAAACCAAAATGGATAACAACTAATCCTTATTCAGGGTGACTTGCTTCAAGAACATGCTTGTAAAAATAAAAATAATTGCAAATTCGAATTACATTAACTTTAATTGATATTAGCAGTCACTCGTTCCCTAAAGTCTGCACTTTCTGATCTCTGTGAGAATCCAATGTTGTCCTTCATTAACTTCACCTTAGAGAGAGGCTTCACCTCCAGGGAGTCTCTGTAGGATAACAGTGGGGAAACGCTTGTATTCATTAGATGCACCTGCTCACTTCCTGACTCCTTGTTCTTAAAGACCTAAAACGTTAATGAATACAGCTAATAAGTCAGAACACATCATTTACTTTACCTGCTTTTTGATTAACTAACTTCTAACAAAGTAAAAGGTTATTAAAAAACACCTAACTTTTCCTGTTTGGTTTAGTGATTTAGAAAGCAAGTTTACCTCGCTCTAATTATTGGTCATTGATTGGAGTGACTCAAAATGAACCCTTGAAAGGTTTGTTATGTGCTCTGATCAGTTTAGTCTTCTAACAGATCAGGTCACTAATCCACTTACAGCCTCTCAGTCGATTTCTGTGTTTCCCATGGAGAAGTTTCAGGTTTTATTTTCTAAGAGTTTCTACTTTTGTTTTATAGTGACAAAATTTGCAGTATTGGTTTTAGGCTATTAAAAAAACTTTTTTTTAAATTGACATTGTTTTGTTTTTTAATTTCCAAACAATTAAAGCTACAATTGCAAATTTGGAAAACAGATTAGCTTAAAACATTTTTTCAATCTTAACAACAGTCTAACATAGTATAGTTATAAATATATTGTGGGGGAAAATGTAATAAAGTGGTTCTTTTGCATTTGCCTTAAAAACCGCAGCCAGAAGTTGTTTTCGGACCAAAAGCCACTATTGGACCATCCTGTTGTCGGTCTCGCCGCATCACCGCACTTCCACACTTCCCTGGGTCCTCTACTCGTTACACACTCGCGTATCTAGCTACAGACCTTTGGTGTGAGAGCTTTGCGGCTCAGTAGTATCAGAGGAGAAACAGCGGTTGCTACCACTTCAACTTTAGGACAAACTACCAGAGTCACAAACGACGTTTGGACCTAGAAAACAGCGACTGGTGTTTTGTGCTATTTCGTTTCCTCCGGCATTGGGGGTTTCTGATTCCAGCAGAAGCGTCTCAGGGAAGATACCGGAGGGGAGGGATGAGTGTTCTGTGCCCATGTTTACATTCAAAACCTAGCTTGTTCTGTTCTTGTTCCTCTGATTAGCCTGTGCCGATCTCCAAACTGATCTCTTGGATCTATGATGTGTCCTTGAGTCTCACTTCCACTCTGAGCAGACTTCCTTTATTTTTGAATAACTGGATAAAAATGTACACCCCAGTAACTTCATGGGATTTTTGTTTAGCTGAAATTGAAGTAAAGTTTGATGTTTTTCTTTTAGAGATCCCCGGGTTCCTGTCAGAAGAGGAGTGCCGTGTGGTGGTGCAGCTGGCTCAGCTCAAAGGTCTGATGGACAGCCAGTCATCAATGCCTAGCCAGGGTCAAGAGGAGTCAAACCAACCATTACTTTCTCTCAGCTCAGAGGAGGTCTTCAGTCTGCTGGACCTGAACCAAGATGGGTTCCTTCAGAAAGAAGAGGTGACAGCAATCACTTGAATTCCATGTTACCAATGAAATGTAAAAGAATTGTTGTTCTTCTTATTAAAATGATAAATATGTTTTGATACTCCTGTCAGATTTTGAGTCATTCACGTTCTCAAGATGGAACCTGGTTGAGCCCCGAAAGCTTACGGCAAATGCTGGCTGGTCTGGAAGCCTGTCCCACAGGTGAGTTCTCCGGAGGTTCCTGTGTGTTTAGCACTTGTGGAAACGATTGCGTTTGGAAAGGAGCATCGTTTGAGAGTGAAAACCTAAATGTTGATTTAGTTTTTTTCTAGTTCAAATGCTTCAGTCATTTTAAGGAGGTTAGGTTTTGCTCCACCTGTCCTCTGTGCTGCCCGACGAGTTGTTGTTCAGTAACACTACACCATCACCTGACCCAGGTGTGACCCACATGCAGAGCTTTTGCCCAGCTCACATGCCCTGTGGTCTTCTGTGACTGCCTAAATGTATGTCCTCCACCACGTGAAACCACATCTCATAAATGACACGGCCTAAATCTGCTACAAAGATGTCATGAACTAGCTAACTAACCAGCACCCTCCCTGCACCCGTCCCCCCTCTCTACTGTCCACTCCTTGTTCCCTGCTCTCCATGACTGACGTCAATGTTGTTGTTGTTGTTATTGTTGTTGTTAGCCTCAAGGGCAATATGCCGATTCTCATTTGTAAGTCGCTTTGGACAAAAGTGTCTGCTAAATACATAAACATAAACATGAACACTTCTAAAATCATTGACTCAAAGATAGTACACATCCATCTCAGCACATATGTTTGTTTAACCTCCATCCTGGTTCGTGCCAGTTCAAAGTCATCATTTCAACCATTTCTTCAGATCACTTTCACCATTTTTATCACCAGTTCCACAATCTGTAGTGTCCTCAGCAAAGTTAAAGGAGGGCTCCTATCTCTAGCTCATTATCAGAACTGTTCGGGGGGGGGTGGAACAATAGTACAGTAAATTGCTAAGTGGTGCGAGTGTTTTTGAGTGGCAAAGCAGGAAGTGGGGTGACACCATTTTGACCCGAGTCCATTGTGCCAGGCATTCTGCACATCCGGATGGGCCTTGTCCCGTCTCATTAAAACCCGATTGTTCACCCCCTGTTTTCTTTAAAGCCCCCAGATATCCTGTATCCCCTACTCCATCTTCCACACTCCCAGCCACTTCTAATGTGGCACCCCAGAGGTATTGTTGGGACTGGGGCGCGGCCTCCCTGAGAGGAGTGATGGGGGGGACGGTTTCAGCAGAAAGCAGCAACACATGGTTGAACGAAGAGGAGCATGAATGAAAAAGAAAGGAGAAAAGAGGGCTAGACTGTTGCAGACTGCTGTTCACCAAGCAAGAATCTGAGATTACGTCCGTGAATTGAAGTCACACAGAATAACCGTAATCTGGTTTTGTGTGTGTCTGTAGGAACGCTGACACTGGGTGACTTCAGGCGGGTTTACGACGTGTCCCAGCGCCCACAACAACAGAGAAGTGGGAAGCTCCATAGCCACTTCAAACAAAGAAACAGGCATACGTGGCTTTATCAAGGATCAGGATCTCACCGTGTGCTGCAGACGCTCAGGAAAAGGTCACTACCTTCACACACTATGTTCTTAGCTACTCATACAGCTGTTTTCAACGGGAACACGCTGTCTTGTGTCCTGCATTCAGAGTAATCGGTCTGACACATCTGCCCTCTTCACTGGTCGAGCTGAGCGAACCGCTGCAGGTTATTCGTTACGAGCACGGAGACTTCAGCAGTGCTCACTATGACAGCAGCTCCTCCCACCCAGAGACCACCTGTACACACACACGCTTGGCAGGAAACGCATCTGCTCTCACTGAGGTCTCCTGCAGGTGTGCATCATAAAAACTTTTGCTCTATTCACTTCACAGTTCTTGATAATTATAGTGGTTTGTTTTATTGACATGTTTTATGGTTTTGCTTTGGTATACATAATCAAATTGTTGGTAAATAAACAAAATTTACAGTTGCCTGTGTTTTATTCTAGGTATCTGACTGTGTCATTGTACCTTAGCTCTGTGGAGGATGGTGGTGAAATCACATTTCCTGTGGCAGACAATCGTACTTATGATGAGCAGGTGAGTCTGCTCTCAACCTGGACTTTTTTTTACTGTTAGCATTAACGATCGAGGGACTAACATCAGCGGTTCTGTGTTTTTGTAGGCACTGGTTCAGGAGGGAGTGGATTTGACCGACACACAACAGACATGTGGCAAAGGGAATCTGAGAATGAAGCCCACCACTGCAACAGCTCTCCTCTGGTATAACCATCTCTCTGATGGGAGAGGTAACACTAAACCAGCCTTTCCTGTAGCCCATACACACATATGCAGTGATGTTTAGTAAACAAGGTCCTTCAGTGGCTTCAGCATCAACAGTTCATGTAGTTTGTCTTTGTTCCACAGGTTGGATGGGAGAGTTAGATGAGTTTTCTTTGCACGGTGACTGCCCAGTCAGGCGAGGAGTGAAGTGGGTGGCCAACAGCTGGGTAAATGTGGACCCGGATTACCAGCAGCAGGCCCGCTACCAAAGACTAGTAGCATCACAAAGGCATCAAACTAAGGCTGCCATGGAAGACCAATACTACTCCCTCTCACACAGCGACCTCCACCTGGATCTATAGCCAGGACTTTGGTTGGTGCAACTTTGCAACCCAGATTTTAAACTGAGGCTTTGATTTTAGTGAGGGCTGCTTGGTATGTACGCTGTCTCACATGCAACACTTTTCTGTGCAGAAGTCTTGACCTGCCCTCATTTTTCAGATGTTCTTGTTTAGGGCTGCACGATATTAGGAAAACCTGCGATATGCGATAACAGTGATTAATATTGCGAATGCGATGACGATATTACTTGCGATAAATAAAAACTTAACACAAAAAATTACCAAAAAATATCATAAAAGTGAGAAAAGCAAAAGATGTGAGGAAGGGAAATAAAACAATGAACAAGAAAAGGCAATCGGTGGATCCCGGGAAAAGCAGAATCAGCAGAAAGAGCTGAACAAAGCTAATTCAGGTGTTTGCCAACCATCAAAATGAAGTGCCGTCCACCTCGGGGGCGGGCATCTAACCTATTGGCCCGACGGGTGAAGAGCTCTTATTTGATTTGTTAAACATCGTGCTTCCATTTGATTAACAGAATGCATTATACGTAGCAAACATTTGAGCTGACCATGATATTTATCTGTTCTTTGCGATATGCATATTGCGCTTCCTGATATCGCGATAACGATATACTTGCAATATATTGTGCAGCCCTTTTCTTGTTAAAGAGCCAGATTTTCATTTTAAAGTAATTGTGACCAACTGTTCTTGGGCTGTCTCATAGTGTTAGAACAGTATTTCTAGATATTTATTCATTTGTTCACTTGAAATAGTCTCTCCGGTTCTCTTTCTTTTGATGCATCAACAAAAAAGGCCAAAGATAACTGATTTGGATGTGTAAAAAATAAAAATAATAAGGAAGTATAAAATGGTATCGCTCTAGGAACATATAAATGGATCCACTGAAAGATGACGTGTCTGAACTGTGTCAGATTTATGCTTACCGGTAATTTTTTATTTTTTTTATTTTGTCATTTTGTGTCTAGTACATGTTTAGTTTGCTCAAATTCCTAAACACACACACACACACACGTGAGAAAAGCACAACCATTTTTGGGTGGAAGTTGAAAAATGGTTTTGAACCCCTGGAAAAGTACAATCCATGACAACTCGAGACCAAAACCAACAAAAAATACATCAAATATAAAAACTGGGGAGACTAATTCTTTTCTTTAGAAATGTAAAACTGGTTCTGAATGATATAAATATCTGAACAATGTGAGAAGACGTTTAAAAGATGCAGGCATGTGTTTGATTAACTGCTCGTCGTTATTTATTCTACAGGATTACGGCTTTTGCTTTAATCAAGCCGTGTCACAATACCTGTGTGAGAATGTAATGAAGCTTTTAGAAGATTCTCCATGTTGGCTCAGTCCTTCGTTTTTGTTTATTTTTGTTCATAGAATTATTTAAAGATGTTATTAAGCCGAATAGAAACAAACAAAGACTGGAAAATAACTGTCAAATCTGCACCTCAGGAGAAATTAAATATTAAGTTATTGGTTTTAAAACTTTATATCTTCACATTATATTTATTGTCTGAGACTATTTATTTGAGTGTTGTTTATTTCAATCATTTATTCATTTTTAAGCATGTGTATTCATTAATGCTTGATGTTGCACTAAATTTGTAACTATTATTGTATTTGCTGTGTGTTAAGATTAATGTGTAAAGCTGTTTCATTATTGGTGGAGTGTATTTATTCATTTGTTGCTGTTAATGCACTTGGCTACCACTAGATGAACACTGAACACCATCACTGTTTTTAGTAGCTCTGGATTGATTATTTAATTTACAGCTAATGCATGATAATATTTATTAAAAGAAACAACCTGCAAAACTCATTCTCCTGGTAAAAATTTCTACTCAAATCACTTTCAGATCATTTACAGCAAAATCACATTTATAGATTAATTCTGCACACATTTAAATGGCTGCTAGGCTGTTTTGCTTGTTTAGCACCCCCTAGTGTCTACTGTGGTTAAGCCTCTTTAACACCTTCATCTCACTGCTGAAATGTCTCCTCAGCCTTCATTAGTGACTAGAGGAGTGGTTCATCACTAAACCAAACTAATCACATATGTTCACGATTTAAAATATGCAGGAAACGTGCTGGAAGCAGACTGCAGCTGCAACTACACCCACCAGCAGTGACTTGAGCTGCACCTCTAAAGTTGCAAGTCCGGTATTCTGGCCATAGAGGGTGGTGGGTTCTGAGTGACATTTCATTAACCCTGTAAAGGATCATTCTAGCAAATACTGGGTCAAAAAATAATTTTTAAATAAAAAGTTGCATCATATCCATAAGCTTATAACAAATTTTGGTCAAGAAATGTGTCTTTTTTTCTCTCCTTTAATCATCTAGTGAACTCAAATTTTTTGTATGATTTTTTTAAACACAAATTGTTTAAAATTACCTTCATGACAAAGTGTCATTGCTGGATGGTACATGGTATTACTCATTAATTATTAAGGATCTAAAGATTTTATTACCAGGGGCAAAAATAGTTTTCAGATTCTGCCCTCTATCAGTCCTTGTTTCACTTAGTTCCATTTTTGTGAAGTGATTTATTTTTATTTATTTATTCGTTAAAAGGTCATGGACAAGTTCATCCATCCATTTTCAGCTACTTATTCTGAGTCAGGTCACGGGGGCAGCAGCCTAAGTCGAGAGGCTCAGACATCCCTCTCCCCAGCCACTTGGGCCTGCTCCTCCGAGGGAAACCCAATGTGTTCCCTGGCCAGGTGAGAGACATAGTCCCTCCAGAGTGTCCTTTGGATCTCACCAGGGGGGCGTCAGGAGGCATCCTGACCAGTTACCCGAGCCACCTCACCTGGCTCCTCTCGATGTGGAGGAGGCAGCGGGTCTACTCCGGGCCCCTCCCGGATGACCGAGCTTCTCACCCTATAAGAAGAGCCAAGACGCCCTGTGAAGAAAACTCATTTTGGCTGCTTGTATCTGTGATGCCATTCTGTCGGTCATTAAACTCATGACCATAGATGAGAGTTGAAACATCGACTGACTCAGCTCTCTCTTCACGCTTGTCGCTTCCTGGACAAATGATCTATTGGAATTAACATGAAAAAAAAACAGTAGTTCTGACCTGAGTGGTGAGCTAACTACTAGTCTGATTGATGATCATATCAAGCTGCTGCTAACTATTTCAGTTTTAACCATATAATAACATATAAGCAGTATTTTATAAGTCTTTACCTGTTTAGCTTGTCATTACATCTTTGTTTCTGTAAAATAATTTGGTTATTTTGCAATAAAGCTGCATGATCCAGCAAAAACAGAAAATCTCAGCTGGAATAATCGTGTCATTTAAAATGTTTGTTCATATAATGTTTTTTGGTGATTATACTATTTATACTATACATGATAAATAAATAATTGTTTTAAGGTGGCAGCTGTTTTTGGTTCTACTCCAGGACCTTGTCAGAACTCCTTGTATATTTCTGCGAACTGAAGTACTTTCAAGAGGTAACAAAAATTCTTTACAACATTTTTACAGTCGTGAACTGTCCCTTTAAAAGGTATATTTCTGGTAGTCAACCTTCATTTGCATGTTTGCCCTGACCTTCTGTGGTTTGGATCATTTTAACACATTCCTTGGCGACATGAGCAACAAAACAAATAACCCAACACTGGTTTGGACTTGTGTCTGGAATAATTTCTCTGGTTTTGGGTCAAGGACGTAATAAAGCCATCCTTGTGACCGTGGGCTACGCGGCGCTGCTGATGATGCTGAGCGGTGCGCACCGGCTCGCTCTCAGCCAATCAGCGCGGCCCGCAGCGGGAGGAGGCGTGGGGAGCGTCCGTCACAGCCAAACGAACCGTCGAGCAGAGAGGATCGCATTCTTCGGTCGTTGAAACCGCGGCATCTCACTAAACGGAACAGGGACTTCTCACCGAGCTCCTGAATCAATCAAGCAACGCGATTATTCTTTACTCCAAGGCTTAGCATCATTTTTATTTAAGGGTTCTCCATGAGATTCTTCAGGCTTACCTTCAAGTGCTTCGTCGACTGCTTTTGAGTCTCTGTCAACGGCTGAACTGACTGCGGCGCTTTGTGACATTTTCCATCTCCTGGCAGAGCTAAAAAGGTTCAAACCTGTGATATTCACATAAGAACTGCGATTTTCATTGTATTATTATTATTACTTTTGCTCATTCAAGAAAGAAGAGATCAACTCAGAAAAAGCTATTGGATTGGTGTAGCCAGAATATTGCGACTACATCTCTGTCTGCCTCTCTGAGCCTGCAGGTTTAAGCCTTTATCCTGACATTCTCAAACCATCAGCGGCCCCCTACCTAGATAAAAAGCAACCCTCTTGAATCAATACCTATTTTTATGACCAACAATATGTCACCTGAGTTGGAAGAAAACAGCCAAGGTGAGTGATGTCAAGAACCTCCACTGTTTATATTTATTCCTTCTTTTATTTACAATAATTACTAATAAATGCAGCTAAATGAGAGCATCTTTCACTTTATCCACCAGGGATGAATCAGCCACATACCAGCTGCGCTCAACCTCCTTCTGCCTTAATTGTTATTACATCATGCACACACTGATGTATGATAATAATAATAATAATAATAATTATAATAATAATAATAATAATAATAATAAAACGTGGCACGGGGCTGACTCCGAACAGCCTGCTGTCGTTTTGGAGCTGAATACAGACCAGACCATCTGAATAATGAATTTATTTATTTGCCAAACCAAATCTTATGCTAAAGTTTTTCTCAGCAACTTCCCATTGGGTGTTTTTGTCACATATAGGCGTTGAAATTAGTGTTTCATTAATCCTCAGCTTTTTTTTTATTAAACATTGATAAATCATACACTGGTAATCAATTTCCCTCTGGGATTAATAAAGTATTTTTGAATTGAATTTGAATTGAATTGAATTCATTCATACTTCTCACACATGGTCTGAAGCCACAGGCATCTTCCTATAAAGTTGCTCCATGCATGCTTACGTCACTCGCCCAACGTTTCCCTCCTGTCTACCCACAATCCCCCCCTCAAACTGCTTCAATCTGGATTCAACTGCCTGGCTTTGCACCCATCACAGTCTGACACTGATACCAGAATCCAAGTGGTGAAGTGGCATAATCTGGCTTTTTAAGCATGTTTGTGCGGTGTTCGACAAAAGCAAAGCCTGTGTGGGGCTTGATGTATACGTCTAGGTGACTCTACAGCAGCACACTCATCACTGTCAGTGAAACAGAAACCAAAAATTTGAACATCGAGGGAGGGCTCAGTGATCACAATGCATTGTAAAACAATGTGGGTAGTTTTAACACATATGGAAAGCAATTCTGAGAGATGTATTTAAGTCATTTTACCTTTTTTTGGAGGGTAATTGGCTCTAGTGGTAGTTTTTGCAATGAATCACAGTTTATCTTATACGTCTGGTTTAAAGACTAATTCATCAGTGTGTCATGTGTCACAATATAGTTCTCTGTTTATTTTTGTGTGATCTGAATATTTAACTCTAAACTACTTCATCCCCGTAGTTTTGAGCTATTTCACCTCATCATCTATCTCGTCTGAACCCTCCCAGGTGAAATCAGTGTTTCCCAGTTGGAGGCGGGGACCCTGTCTGAGGAGGATGGCATGGGGTCAGCTCGTCCCCTGGTGCCCGTGCCTGGAGTGGGCTCGGGATGCGGTGACGGAGGAGGAGATGGCCCGCCACAGAGCCAGGACGGGGCCTCGGCCATCAATGGAAATGGCGTTGTAGCAGTACCTGTAGTGGAGAGAGAAACCTGGACCAGACAGATGGACTTCATTATGTCGTGCGTTGGTTTTGCTGTCGGCTTGGGCAACGTGTGGCGGTTCCCCTATCTCTGCTACAAGAACGGAGGAGGTGAGCCCCAAGACCGCTGTGTATCTCTGTCTTCTCTCTGCCCTAGAATGGAAACAGTTCAAATAAAAATATAATGTGTCTTTTTCTCTGGCACGATATTTGAGGAAACAGGATAATGTCCCCTTGACAGAATATATCCCACATTAACCCAGGAGACCAGATCGGGTAGTCCAAGCTAATTGTGAAAAAGCAGCTGTTCATTATTAGTGTAAAAATACTGATAATTTGTCTAATTTCATGTTTTACTGATTTGACAAAAGCCCATCCAGTTGTTTTAGCGTGTTCCAGTGTTGCGTCTTTGCTTTGAAGTAAGCAGTCATTAATAATTTAATCACACATTCATTCATCTGATAATGCTGAATGACGAGTGTGGAATATTACTCTGCAGCCACCTGTGTTCCTCCTCATCAGGGAAATTAAAGCAACAACTTTGTCATTAATTAAACTGAACTTTAGTCTGCACAGTCCTCCACTTTCTTCCACCAGTCCAACCGCAGCTCCCTGTTATCTACAAACATCATTTCTGTTACATCATTTATTGATGTAGTGTTATCTTAGGTCGTTTTAGGATAATGGAACGTTCCATTTCTGAAAGACTTCAGCACCAATTTCAGATGCCTGCTTCATGCTGGTGAGAAAGGCTACGTTTCATAAATCAGACCATGAACTCTCACCTAATGAGGCTGATTGTGGTTAACAATGGCCATGATTAAAGAAAACATCTAGTGTCTCTGGCAGCAGTCCTAAAGTATGTTAAAATATCAGCGATGTCTTCTTCTCTTCATTTTAAATGAATAATAGTGCCCCCCCCCCCCCCCCCAGGTCTTGACGTGCTGTGTGTTTAACTGTAACAGAGTGGACGTCGAGAAGGGCAGTGTGTTGAGACATAATTCTGTAAGGGCAGGAAAAGGAGAGCCTGCGTGGCAGTAATCATGTAGCTCCAAAGCTGTGCCTCGGCACGTGATTCTCTTTATTTATTGTAGCTTACCAGGCAGACTTAGAGCCGTTTGCCCTGCAGTGCACCTCCTGCTCTCACTGGCATTTGAGATCTGAGACGTATCATGCCTCCTTTTTAATCTATGTCAACTTTTCCACCACTAACCTCGCCTGACTGCGACTTTCGACCTTGATTGTTCTTATCGCAGCCTTACCCACAGTTTTTATGGGGCGTTTTGTTGAAATCAAACTGAACGTGTTATTATGTGTGTGTGGGTGTGTGTGTGTGTGTGTGTGTGTGTGTGTTACTTCGCCCTCTCTTTCATGTATATGTGTGTCTTGTGACCAGACCCACACACTGGGATCATATAACAATGCCCTGCCTCACACAGTCCACCCCCTGTGAGCTCGAGGCACACTTAGGTGTTCTCTCCCACCCTGCTCCTGTCCTGATAAGGACGCATATGGATGTGCCACACAATAACCGTTCTGTGACTGCGCCCATCCCTTCCTCCCCTCGGCGTCAGCACAGTCTCATCTGCTACAGTCCATAATGCCCTTGACTTAAACCCAGGGAGGGCACGTGTTGTAACTCTAAAGGGAGTAGATAGTGGCACCTGCTTGCTACTGAATGAAGAACACGCTGCAGGAAACGGAGGAAAAAGCGTGTGCTGCTGAATGAGTGTGCGCTAGAAAGCAGCTGCTTATCTGTAACTCATCACCTCGTTCCATAAAAGAGGATTTACTTACTACTTCCTTGACAATTTGACCAATCAGCTGAGATATGTAAAGACGATTCCCTGTCTCTCTCTCTCTCTCCCCATGTCTCTCCTGCTCTCTCGGCCCTTTCTCTCTTAGCTCCTGAATGTTTCCTTATATGGCCAAAGCCATCTTCTGTCAGAGAACGACATCAAGAACGATGAGCCGACTGAAGCTCAAGAGGCAGCGCTGACGCCGAGTCAGATCGGTCCCCTCTTGTAAAATGTTAAAAATTCTCCACCACAGCAGTGCCCCAGTTCTCTACCTGCCTCTCATGTAATCCATCCATTTTTTCCTCCTTTCTTCTTGGCTTCTTTCTGCTCTGCGTCATAGCTGGTCATGTGACTCCCTCCCATCTGCGCACTGTGCTGGCATCACTCAGCTTTGTTATGAACAAATCCCAGCAGTTTACATTCAGTTTAGAGAGCTGATTTGCCCTCAGTCGGCTCCAACTTCTGCTGCAAAACGAGCATCTAAAACTGGAGTAACAATAGAGTCCATGAGTACAACCGTGTTGAGATGTCGTTTGTTCTTCTGAGTCTGTTGTCTCCCAGTCGTCGTCGATCAATATGCTTTTGTCTTTCTCCTGGTGGAGCAGCTTTTAAGCTCAAGGCCGATGCTTCGTTTGCCACTAATGTCCAAATGCTTATGAAACAAGACACAATGTGCTCATCTCTCAACACTTCTCTTATCTAGGGCGACGTCTGACCTGTCTTCTTCCACAAGTCTCAGACCTTCATTAGTTGTTGAGTTCTGAGAGTCGTGCTGGTGTCTGAGCTGCACGAGTCATTAAAACCTTCCAATATTATCGTCTGTTCAGGGAGCAGGAAGAGACTTTATTCAGTCAGTAAAAACACTACTTTAATATTTAAGGCTTTCTTTGATGGAATTAAAATCACCTGCCACCAATCAGATATTTAAACCTATGTCATTTCATATTGAGAAAAAATATATTTTACATATTTATTCCGTTGTGAAAGTAACATTATGCATGATGTGATGCAAAGCTTCTGTGCAACTTTGTCATATTTTTAAACCATTTTCTTGGGCTAGTATGTGCTAAAATGACCTCTTAGGGTTGATGAAATGTCACTCAGATCCTGCACTCTGTGATCAGTATACCGCATTTGCAACTTCAGAGTGCTGGTCCGCCACCTGTCAGATTTAGAAAATATTTACCTGGCGCTGCACTCTGCATCCAGAAAAGTTCCTGCATGTTTTAGATCGTGAACACAGCTGATTTGTGTGATTTTGTGATGAACCACTTCTGTAGACACTAGGGGTTGTATGAACTAGTCGACTAGTCGACTTCACTGCTCTGTAGTGACTTTTTATACCTGTCATTGGCTAGTCGCTGTCATGTGATAATGAGCGACAAGATGCAGTCCTCGGAAAAGACAGCAGGTGATGAGCTCTTGCGCGTCGGGAGGCGGAGGCGAGCGCTGCGCCAGAGCATCGGTATCTGACACCCGCGGTAAAACGGACATTTAACCAAATTGTGACATTTACCCTCTTGCAATTTAACCTTCCCCTCACCCCCATCCTAACCTAAACCAGCTAGCGCATGCAAAGCTCTGATCACTGACGCGCTCCAGACATCTGCGTCCTGAGCACGGCCACAGTAACATTATCAAATCAGGTGTCGCCACCTCAAAAACAAATTTAACATGCGATCGTTTATGTCGGCTCATTTCCTTTTATGTTTTCTGTCTTTTAATTGTGCCTGATGCGTTTCGCTGCTGTGGAGCGGGGCGTATCACCTGTTTTGTCCTCCGGTGACGCACTGATCACTGATGTGGCCGCCAAGCAGCGAGCACTCCGCTGTTTTTGCGGTCGGTAGATCTTTTAGAACTGCAGTTCAAAGGTAACTCATAAGGTGAATATATATGAACCCAGGTAGCAGTTTCTCTTTAGGATTGAGAGGAGATGCAGGAAGATAATAAACAGACAGGACAGAAAAATAGTCAAATAAAAACAAGTTAGTTTTTGTACCTGGTGGTTGCAACAAACAGACACCATTAAAGGTAATCAGAAGTGAGTAACAAGAAAATGAAATAATTATTTTAATGTTTAGAGCAGCAGGAACTCTGAGAGGCTGCAGGCGCATCAGTGAGTTTGCGGCCGCTGCGCAGGGGGAGAGGGGAGAGGGCTGAAGCAGAAACTACCGTTGTTAAAAGAGATGTGTTTAACTTTGAAAAGATGGGCGCAATTTTAATTGTCCAAAACTCCATCGAACCAACCGACCAAGCCCCCCCCGCTTCAGGTGTATGACGTCATCAACGACTAGTCAAAGTCGACTCGATTTTCATTACTTGACTGTCGACTTTTAAAAAAATTAAGTCATGCAGCCCCTAGTAGACACTAATGAAAGCTAGATTAAGATTGAGGTGTTAAAAAGAAATCATAAGGAGAGATAATTTTCACTTTTGGTTTGACCACAGATAATTAATAAAATACACTAGGGGGTGCTAAAAACAAGCAAAACTGCTTAGTATCCCTTTAATGACGTGTTAGCTCACAGAGTATGCTATATAAATGACTCAGCAATAGGAAATTGTAGCTCTATATCGGTAAAGTTGACTGAGTTATTTCTGTTTTTGCATTAGCAACGGTTACATATCTGTCAAGTTGACTCCAAAAGTTGATAAGTTGTAGATCTAGTGGTAGCATTAAGAGGGTTTTAATAAGATTCACCCAGCGGTTCATGATCTTCTAATGAACACACATAGACAGACGTTATTGTCAGTGGCAGGTGATAATAAAAAGATTAGTGTTTATATTCCCTGTGATGAATGTGTGTGTGTGTGTGTGTGTGTGTGTGTGTGTGTGTGTGTGTGTGTGTGTGTGTGTGTGTGTGTGTGTGTGTGTGTGCGTGCGTGCGTGTGTGATGCTGCAGGGGTTTTCCTGATCCCTTACTTGCTGATCGTGTTCATCGGGGGCATCCCTGTCTTCTTCCTGGAGATCGCTTTGGGTCAGTTCATGAAACAAGGAGGGGTCTCAGCCTGGAACATTGCTCCGCTCTTCAAGGGTATCTTCCTGTCTGTACACGTTCATGTTAGCACTCTGCTTAAATCTCATTCTCAAGTATTGGTTATTAATCTTTCTTTTCAGGTCTGGGCCTGGCCTCCATGGTGATCGTGTTCTTCTGTAATACCTACTACATCATGATCCTGGTGTGGGGCCTCTACTTTCTCTTCCACTCTTTCACAAACCCCTTGCCCTGGGCCACATGTGGAAACCCCTGGAACACCCCCAACTGCACACAAGACTTCCGACGCACCTGTCACAACCGCAGCGCCGCTCAGCCTGCTGCATCGTCTTCTGCTGCCACCCCTTCCAGCCTTTTCTCCAACGTGACCTCGCTTAACCTGTCCTCATCTCAGCTTCTGCTCAACGGCAGCTGTGTGGAGGCAGAGGGCCTGCGCTCCCCTGTAATCGAGTTCTGGGAGTACGTTGCAGATTTAATCAAGCAGAATGTTTTTTTACACCTAGCTAAATAACAAATGTATTTGACATTCCAGTTTTCTTTGTGCTAGATTGCTGTGTGCCCACTTCTTCCAGTCATTCAAACCTTTATTTTAGTGTTTTTTGACATTTGACATGTTTTGCATTAATCTTGCATTTGCAAGCCTCATTAAACTCACAAAGCAAAGCACCGTTCAGTTAAGCCATTCTAACAAATTTTCCCGTATCTTTGAATATGCCTTTGGTGCTTTTGGAAAAAGTCATTCTTTGTTCTAATTGGCAAACGTCTGCTTCTCCTTCTAGACGTAAAGTGCTTCGTCTGTCTGCAGGCCTGCATGAGCCTGGTGTCATGAGCTATGAGATGGTGCTGTGTCTCATGGCCACCTGGGTCATCGTTTACTTCTGCATGTGGAAAGGAGTTAAATCTACTGGCAAGGTGACTTTTCTTTTAGGAAATCAGGGTCACATCTTAGTGTTTTGAGTCTATTTTAAAAGGATATTTGGAGCATGTTTAAAACAAAGTTATAAATAGTTACAGTCTTACCTGCTGATTGCTTCATGAATGGCCTCAGTTCTGAGAAATAGAGTTTACAGTGCCATAGGACACATCTACTCCAAGCACACCCAAGACCAAAGTGTACTTCTGACATCTTAAAAGTGCACAAATCTAAAATTTCCTTGCATTTTTTGCTATTTATTCAGGTTATTTACTAATTTTACACAAAACACATTCTAACATGGCCAGATGTTCCATTGATGTCAGTACCTAATTACTGTGTCAGACGTTTTCAGTGCACACATCTTTGCCTGCCTCCATGAAAAGAGGGAAATAATCGCAGCACATTGCTGTTTGACTTAGATAAGCTGTGCTTCAGACTGAGAATCAGCGTCTACTGAAACGATATAAACGCTGTGCATGCTCACATGTTTTTTCAGTGTGCCAGCCCGTTTCTTTATTTATTTATTTTCAAGAACACCATAATCTCTCATTTATCCCCAACACAGCGTTACATAATAGTTCTAGTAGAAATCGTTCTGGGGAAAATAGGTAACCGCTTCTGTTTTTTAACTGTTTGCTTTCTGCATTGTCTTCCCTGGGTTAGGGTTAGGGTTAAAGTCTTCATTCACTAACACGTAGAGGAAACCGTGTTTGCAGACTTGTGCCTCCCTGGTAGCCAAAGCTCATAGAGCCAGGGGGAAATAATGAGAGAGACTGAACTGGCCTGCTGTAAGCAGATTATTAACTTGCCACCATGTTTGAAAGCAGGATAACACCTTTTCTGTCCATGTGCACAACAGATAAAGATAAAAATGTGCTTTTGTACATTTTCACTCAGTCTAATTTTGCATTGAGTTAATAAGATAGTGATTTCAAAGCATAACATGGATAAAACTATGAAAAGGTGTCAGTCTGCTATATCGGAAGGTCTGGTTTTTCATTTACAGGATACCTTTTCTCCAAAGTATCATGACAGGCCTCATTACACATCCACTACAGGAAGGGCCTAATGGGCCTCTACTTATGACTTGAGTATTTGCAAAGCAGGTAATTGCTTGATCACACTGATAAGGACCGTACTTTACACATTCTTAGTTGCTGCTACACTTAATAACTAATAAGCTCCAGCAAGCCTTAAAAAAATTAAACATTTTAATGTTTTTACTGTTTTTCCCATCCCAAACAATACACACATATTGGTCCCACAGAATTAAGACATGTTCTTTTGCTGCTCTGAAGTTTCCCATCTTTCTTTAGGTCGTGTACTTCACAGCTTTGTTCCCCTACCTGGTTCTGGTGGTTCTTCTGGCCCACGGAGTCACTCTACCTGGAGCTTTGGATGGCATTGTTTACTACCTTAAGCCAGACTGGTCCAAACTCGGAGAAGCGCAGGTTTTTATTTTTCTGATGATCATTCTTTTTTGTGTTCTGTGCAACTTTTTTAAAGCCATATAAATGAAATGAAACTGTACTTTTTCCTGTTTTTCAATCGTAGGTGTGGATCGATGCCGGCACGCAGATTTTCTTCTCCTATGCCATTGGACTCGGTGCCCTCACGGCGTTGGGCAGCTACAATCGTTTTCATAACAACTGTTACCAGTGAGTTTATTATCTACTCAACAGCAAATCAGACACAGGTGTTGCTGAGGAGACAAACACAAAGTCACTGCCTAACCGTGGATCCGGTCACTGTGATCAAAGGCCAGTGTTGGGGAGTAACACATGTAATACATGTACCGCTGTTACCCTAACCCTAATCATGAGTGACTATATTCTGTTACCGTTACTATTTTTAAACATTTAGAAAGTTACTTTCGCAATACAATTGTGTGTTATTCACTTTCCATCCGAAAGATGAATAAATCTGTGTTAAGTAGAGTATGTGGTCTGGCCACGGTTTATTAATGGCTCTCCGCCATTGGGGCAGGATCAACGGTTGTCTTTCTAACTGTCCCCCGCATGCTTTTGGAAAACAAAAAACATGACGTACTCACCACTACGGTCAACATTGCTTCATGCCGTCAAAGAAGATGCTAATACATCCTTTTTCTAAATAAACACAAATACTTCTATCTGCTTTTGAATCAAAGAAAAGCCTAAGTCTAAATAGTCCAAAGTTGATGAAGCCGTTTCAAACGAGCCGTTGCTATCTTTGTATCAGTAACATCCCGCCCACCAACAGATTGCTGCAATTGGTCCACCAAACCAATAGAAGGCTGTGGTTGGTCCGCTATGGATGTCAGTCAGCGGGGCAGTCCGCCATTACATTGTGACAGAACTACATAAAACATCAAATAATACATCGTTTTTCTAAATAAACATGCTGTGAGTTGGTTAGCAGTTTCTATAGAAAAGTTTCACTTTATTACAAAAACAGAAATATAATCTATTGACACTTTGATTAAAAAAAGTTACTAAAATAATTAAATTGTTTTATTTGTTTTTTCCCAGTCAGTGCATAATGTTTAGCATTAATATGCCTTCTATTTAGAGTAGCTACCAATGCATGTTGTGACATTTAAAAGACTTAAATGCTGTTTTTAAGGCAAAGTATTCCAAGTATTTAGAATACAGGATTATCCAAAGTAACGGACTACGTTACAAAATACCTTTTAAAGCAGGAATTCATTGTTCTGTAAGTAAATAAATTTACAAAGTATTCTCCCCAACACTGTATAAGGCAGAGACTTAGATACATTTATCTGTGTAAACGTAGTCACTACGTGATTTATACCTGAGAAGTTTCACCTTAAGGAAGACTCAAGGTCTGAGGTTTTCTTTGGATTCTTAGAAATCTTTAAAGGATCCTCACAGGAAATCCAATGGAGACGAAGTGAGGACTTCCTGGAATGCATTTTCCATCTCAGATCAATATCAAAGGGGAGGGATCACCAGAAAGGCCACGTTAACTTCCCATTATGTATTAAGCTTTGTTTAACCGTATGTACAGTCTATGGTTTAACCTTACACCAAATGTGACATCAGGCATTTGAAAGACTTTTGAAACATTAAATTTAAGAAGACTTTAGAGGTTACTAAATTTTTCCGTACCAATAATTGTTTTTTTTTTCCGCTGTGTGTGCTCCCACGTCTCCAGCTCCAGACCAGCTGATGCGGAGACCCTTATGAGGAAGTAACACAGCACCGTTGCAGAAGCGAGGAACTTGTTTCGCTGAATCTCAGCAATGCAGACACATTTGGAATGCTTACAAAGCGAGCGACGTGGACATATTCTCTCTTTTTGACCTAAATTGGAAGTCGAGACGTTTTTCTGTTTATGAGGGGACATCAGCTCTTTTTCATGTGAACACACACAATAATAGGGAATAAATAGCATGACACTCCCTTTGATTTAATGCAATGAAAAATTTGGATTAAGGTCTTAATTTTCAATTAATCTGTTTTCTTATTTGTTTACAGGAAATACAACAAACGTAGAACTCATGTAAAACTGTATTTGAGTAAGAAAACTGACTCCCTGAGGTGTTTATACAGAATTAGTGTCACACTGTGAGTAGGGGGGAGTTTAGGACCCAAGATGCAGAACCAGGGAGACATGAGTCAGGAGTTGAAATAAACGTAAAAATCCTTTATTTGGAGTGATTGTCCAAAAGTAAATCCAATAGGCAGGAAGACAAAACCAAAAATCCTAGTATGAAAACCAAGAGACCTAGAGGCAAAGTGCTCTCTTAAAGAGCAGACCTGGAGATCTCAAAAAAATCCTAGAGACCAAGAGAGGGGTGGACGAGACAACGCTAACATAAACAACGGACCGACAACACATTGAGACACAGACAGGGTTTTATACACAAAGGGAAACAATCATGACAGGTGTGTGGGGTGTAATCAGAAGGGATCAGGTTAGACCAATTAACTGAGTGGGGAAAACTGACAAGGTAAAATAAATCTACAGATGAGTGAACTAGAACCTGAAAACAAGATACCAGAAGAAAAACGCCAACAGGGATGGGATTACTACATCAGAAAACACTACTGGGGGAACCTGAGGGAAACCTGGAGGGAGCTGGAGACCTAAAGGGGCTCATAAACCAAAGAAGAACACCTAAGGGGGAAACCTGGAGTGGGCTGGGGAACACAAGGAGACACATGAGGGGAACCTAGAGAGGGATGGAGAACACAAGGAGACACATGAGGGGGACGCAGGACGCAGACCATGACAATTAGAGGTTGTTTCTTTTAAATATTCCCATGTGTTTGTGTTGAGATACCCTTTGATATCATTGTTTATGCATTCTTCTCATCAGGCAGCAGTCTCGGTTGGAGTTGCCAGCGAGACTTTTCAGCTAAACAGAATCGTAACTGAGATGTTGTTGACTCCATGCTGAAATGGTGGATAAAAAGTAGAACTTGAGTGTTTCTGAGGATCAGAATGTAGGTCAGACTGCATCAGCAGCTTGGCACTTCGTTTCAGTCAGGTGACTTTGCCAAGAATGTGCTTATACAAAAATATAAGTACACAGTCATGCAGGAGATTCACAGCAAAACCTCACAAAGACAAGTTCATTTGATTCAATTTGTGTTAAAAAAACACTAAAATGTGTAACACACTTATTCTCAGTAAATTCACTGAAACAAAACTCAATAATGGGTAAAAAAAATTAAACATGGATTGTTTTATGGATTCTCTCTCTTCTACCTACCGACAACAAAGGCAGCTCCATCTTTTAGAGAAATTGTTATTGATCCTCTATTTACTATCCTGATCCACCTCCTCTGTGTGTGTGTGTGTGTGTGTGTGTGTGTGTGTGTGTGTGTGTGTGTGTGTGTGTGTGTGTGTGTGTGTGTGTGTGTGTGTGTGTGTGTAAGTCGGGTATCTTACCCAAGACACACACATATTTAATATATAACCCCTGTTATTTTCTCTAAAGAGGATGTTTTCTCTCTGAATTCAGTCTTTTTTGTGTTTAGTTATTTTTCTACATCTCTCTGCAGGGATGCATTTGTCTTGGCCCTCATTAACAGTGGAACCAGTTTTTTTGCGGGCTTTGTGGTGTTCTCTGTCCTTGGTTTCATGGCTGCAGAACAAGGAGTGGACATCAGTAAGGTGGCCGAAAGCGGTGAGCATGCGGTCACCTGATCATTTGATATGCCTGAAATCTAATTTATTGGGTAAGAACTGAAGGTGCGAGTCATTTGCTCCTAATGGGTTTGTTTGTGTGCAGGTCCAGGTCTGGCTTTTATAGCCTACCCCAAGGCTGTGACTCTGATGCCTCTGGCACCACTCTGGGCGGCACTGTTCTTCTTCATGCTGTTCATTCTGGGCCTGGACAGTCAGGTAATGCTGCCTGAGATCATCCTTTGAGCACAGAGGAAACACATTAGTTTAAAATCAGTGCATGGCTTGTCTCTGTTTTTATTTCAGTTTCTGCAGGGCCCCTGAGCCTTTGTTTGTATTCCTGACTCTCTCTCTTTAACGCACAAATAATGAAGATATGCACAGCCCTAAATAAATCCTATCCAGTTTAGCATGGCATTTCTTAGCACCCTGCTTGTTGTGTGTCTGAGCCTACATCCATTGTTTAACAGCCCGGGGATTTCTCAATGACCTTCTGTCTGATTCACACAAAGAGTGTCTGTCTTCTCCAATCCATTCATTTATTCTCACTTTCCATTTTCTCCCTCATGTCTTCTCCATCTACTTTTCTTCCCCCACCTCCAGCTTGAGCCACATTGCATAAGAACATGCTGCTATTCATATGAACTGATGGAAAATCAGCTGCACAGTAATTTTCCTCTAGGCTCATCTCGAAATCTTGAATATTTTCCTCCAAAGAAATATTTACATTGCAAAAAATGATTCCTAAGAAAGTAAAAAAAAAAGTCAAATTTTTAGGCATTTTATCTTATTTTTTGTCTAAAAAGAAAAAAGATATTCTCTAGAAAAATAGCTGTGCTTAAAATTTGTTAAATATTTTTGAATATGAAGAATTTATTTCCTTTTGAGACTAAATAAAATACTTCTAAAAATTAGAAATCATTGTTTGCAGTGTATGTTAGAAAAGCTCATCTTTGTCACACACATGAGGCATGGTTTTCTAGCCTGATAAGCCAGACGAAATTAAAATATGATTTAGTCTAGGAATGCTCTATTGACTTTCAAATAATCTCCACATGTTACTGAACAACGAGATGTACTCACTGCTAAGGATGTCGGTCAGTGAGGCAGTCCGCTGTTGAAAAAGGCAAAAATACATCCTTTTTCTAAACAAAGGACTTAAATACAACTATCTGCTCCCGATTCTAATAAAGCCCAAGTCCAAATAGTCCAAAATTGATGTAAAAGCTGTTTCAATTGAGTTGTCACCATCTTGTTCCACTCTGTCGCATCATCCCACCCACCAAACCATGGCCTACCATTATGGACCAATCACAGATCTCTATTGGTTTGAACCCCGATAGAGAGCTGTGATTGGCCAGCCAGATTGCTGCTAGGGGGCCACAGAGGTTCCAGTGGAGCATTACTAGACCAACCTCTTGCTTTGCAAAGTTTGGTCTAGTTCACTATGGTTTTCTATAAATGGACCAAACTTCTCATTACATCTCTGATTGTTTGAGGGGAATTGATGTGTCAGATAGAAACAAGGACCTTTGTCTTTATTTCCTGTTTCTGTACTCATGAAATCATTTTTGACATGTTATTTCCAAGTACATAAAATCACGAGTCTGTGTATTAAACCTCTGATGTTTGAGTTTAAATATATTTAGTTCCACCTGTTTTCCTCTGTTCAGTTTGTAGGAGTAGAAGGATTGATAACAGGAATTATGGATATGTTGCCCCCTAAATCAGCCCTGGGCTCCTTGCGCCGGGAGGTGGTTGCTGCCATCTGCTGCTTCATCTGCTTCTTAATTGACATGACCATGGTCACTGAGGTACAGTGAGAGTTTTGCAACTGTTTAAATTTTGGTTAATGTACTTTTATAATAAACTATTTCCAGAAAATGACATATTTCACTCATTTTGACATGTTTCTGTGTAAAAGTCCCTATATTAAAGAGCAAGTTAACTGAGAAGCCACTTTTTACTTGTTATTTTCGACCATCACTCTGATGGCCCTTACACACTAGCATCAGCTCAACTCCACCTGGACCGGGTTGGGAGTTCTCATTTGCTTGGATTTCCCCACGCGCAACCGGACGTCTTTTCAGCCCTCTTAGGAAGGCTGCTTGGAGTCAAACAGGGCTGACACACCCACTGCTGACCGATTGGCTGGCTCAAAAGCACGCATACCATTAGGGGGAGCTGTCACGCTGTGGGCGCAAGAGGATTGGACCCAAAACACAGAACACCACAACTCAAGGCTGGAGAGGTTGTATAAATAAAGAATCCTTTTATTTAGGGTGAGAACTAAAAAGCAAAAACTGCAGGAATCTAAGCCAAAGTTCAAAAGTTCCAAAAAAATAAAAGCTCACTCATGAGCCAGGATCTATAGTTATTAGAGGGGGACAAAAACAACGCTGACAAAAGACAATGAACCGACAAACACTGGAGACACAGACAGGGTTATATACACAGGGCTGGGGTGATAGGAGACGAGGAGCAGGTGCATGGGGAATTGAGAACAGGTGAAACTAATAACAGAGAGGAGGAGCAGAACGGAGCAGGGGAGGAAACCAGACCTAACTGGGAAAGGGAACACACACACACACACTAAAGGAGACTAAGAAACTGAAATAATAAACCTATAGAAACTACAGTGGGGAGACTAAGAGAACATGAGGAAAACCTGGAGGGAGCTGGGGACAAAAAGGGCTGGGGCTACAAGGACACAGAACGTGAGGGGACACCTGGAGGGGGCTAGGGACCAAAGGGACACAGAACACGACAGTACTCCCCCCTCAAGGGCGGAAACCAGATGCCACAAGACAGAAGACACAATCACAAGATGGAGAACAAGGGAACAGCACCAGTGCGGGGTGGAGGGGGGACAAAACACAAGATCAACCAAAGGTGGCAGGCGAGGAGGGCCAGAAAATACAAAATCCCATCAAAAATCCTGCAGAAACCCTGGGGGAACTGAGCCGAAAAATCTGGAGAGTCTAGGGGGCCGGCGACGGGGAACCAGCAGCCGGGACATGGAGGCTCTGGGGAGACTGATGGGACACCGAAGACTTTGGAGAAGGACGGTGAAGCGACTCTGGAGGAGGACGATGGAGGAAGACGATGGAGGGACTCTGGAGAAACGAACGAAGATTCTGGCTGAAGGGACGAAGATACGGGAGGCTGAAGAGGGGACTCTGCTGCAGCAGATGTAGACTCTGCAGACCCTGCAGGCGTAGACCCTGCAGGCATAGACCCTGCAGGCGTGGCCTCCGCAGGCTTGGCCTCCACAGGCGAAGACGAGGATTCTCAGACCAGCTGGGCCTGCTGGGTCGGGGGAAGAGCCTCAGACAGGCGGAACCGCTGCAGGCGGAGCTTCTTGGACAGGCTGGCCAGCTCTGATATCTGGGAAGCGGAGGAGATCGGGCTGAGCTGGTGATGGTGTCAGGTGGAGCTTGGGCTGAGGAATCAGAGCAGAAAGCACTTGGACAGCCGATGCTGCTCTGACCTCAGGAGACTACTGGCGACGGTTGCGATGACGTCGATGAGAGGAGGTTCGGCCCATCAAAGGTGAAGAGATGGCGCCAGTAGCAACGGAGGACGATGAGGGACAGCCCACCAGAGATGAGGAGGTAGCGCTGTCGGGACCGGTTGAGGATGTGGTGGTTCGGCCCATTAGAGGTGCCGAGATGGCACCGACTGAACCAGAGGATGATGAGGGAAGACAGTCCACCAGAGATGAGGAGGTGGCGCTTCTGGGACAAGATGAAGGTGGGGTGGTGAGTTCGGCAGGTGGTTGTGGGTACCAGAAAGTCTCTTGTAGCTCCTTAGCAAAGGCCCAAAAGGAAACAGTTCTTATAGGGTATTGCTCGAAGTAGAACGTTGCCCACCGCAGAGCTTTTCCTCCCAGACAGAGCACCATGAAGGAGACTTTAACAAACTCGGAGGAAGCCAGGTCAAGGCAACGAGCACAGTCCCGAGTGAACTGCCTGCAGGTGGCCGGGTCGCCGAAATACCTGTCCAGGTACTAAGGTGTAGCTGCGGGGTCTGCTGGGTCCATGAGGGTTGGTCGGTTCATTTTGTCACGCTGTGGGCGCAAGAGGATTGGACCCAAAACGCAGAACACCACAACTCAAGGCTGGAGAGGTTGTATAAATAAAGGATCCTTTTATTTAGCGTGAGAACTAAAAAGCAAAAACTGCAGGAATCTAAGCCAAAGTTCAAAAGTTCCAAAAGTCAAATACAAAAGCTCACTCATGAGCCAGAATCTATAGTTATTAGAGGGGGACAAAAACAACGCTGACAAAAGACAATGAACCGACAAACACTGGAGACACAGACAGGGTTATATACACAGGGCTGGGGTGATAGGAGACGAGGAGCAGGTGCATGGGGAATTGGGAACAGGTGAAACTAATAACAGAGAGGAGGAGCAGAACGGAGCAGGGGAGGAAACCAGACCTAACTGGGAAAGGGAACACACACACACACACTAAAGGAGACTAAGAAACTGAAATAATAAACCTATAGAAACTACAGTGGGGAGACTAAGAGAACATGAGGAAAACCTGGAGGGAGCTGGGGACAAAAAGGGCTGGGGCTACAAGGACACAGAACGTGAGGGGACACCTGGAGGGGGCTAGGGACCAAAGGGACACAGAACACGACAGAAGCATCCGATTGGCAGATAGAACTGGCTCGAGTGGGCTTCCCACATGCGCGATTCATTATCATTCTGGAAGCTGTGGAGTTAACGAGTCTCTCAATGAAGCCGTTTTCTCTTTCCTTCACTGCTGTGAGGAGGCACACACACACACACACACACACACACACACACACAGAGAGAGAGAGAGAGAGAGAGAGAGAGAGAGAGAGAGGATCAGGATGGTAAATAGAGGATCAATAACAATTTCTCTAAAAGATGGAGCTGCCTTTTTTTTTACCCATTATTGAGTTTTGATTCAGTGACTTTACTGAGAATCAGCGTGTTACACATTTTAGTGTTTTTTTAACACAAATGGAATCAAATGAACTTGTCTTTGTGAGGTTTTGCTGTGAATCTCCTGCATGACTGTGTACTTATATTTTTGTATAAGCACATTCTTGGCAAAGTCACCTGACTGTAACGAAGTGCCAAGCTGCTGATGCAGTCTGACCTACATTCTGATCCTTAGAAACACTCAAGTTCTACTTTTTATCCACCATTTCAGCATGGAGTCAACAACATCTCAGTTACGATTCTGTTTAGCTGAAAAGTCTCGCTGGCAACACCAACCGAGACTCCTGCCTGACAAGAAGAATGCATAAACAATGATATCAAAGGGTATCTCAACACAAACACATGGGAATATTCCAAAGAAACAACCTCTAATTCTGTCCTAAACTCCCCCCTACTCACAGTGTGACACTAATTCTGTATAAACACCTCAGGGAGTTAGTTTTCTTACTCAAATACAGTTTTACATGAGTTCTACGTTTGTTGTATTTCCTGTAAGCAAATAAGAAAACAGATTAATTGAAAATTATGACCGTAATCCAAATTTATCATTGCATTAAATCAAAAAGGAGCATCATACTATTTATTCCCTATTATTGTGTGTGTTCACATGAAAAAGAGCTGACGTCCCCTCATAAACAGAAAAACGTCTCGACTTCCAATTTAGGTCAAAAAGAGAGAATATGTCCACGTCGCTCGCTTTGTAAGCATTCCAAATGTGTCTGCATTGCTGAGATTCAGCGAAACAAGTTCCTCGCTTCTGCAACGGTGCTGTGTTACTTCCTCATAAGGGTCTCCGCATCAGCTGGTCTGGAGCTGGAGACGTGGGAGCACACACAGCGGAAAAAAAAAACAATTATTGGTACGGAAAAATTTAGTAACCTCTAAAGTCTTCTTAAATTTAATGTTTCAAAAGTCTTTCAAATGCCTGATGTCACATTTGGTGTAAGGTTAAACCATAGACTGTACATACGGTTAAACAAAGCCTAATACATAATGGGAAGTTAACGTGGCCTTTCTGGTGATCCCTCCCCTTTGATATTGGGGCGACGGTGGCACAGGAGTTAAGTGCTCGCCCCGTAATCAGAAGGTTGCAGGTTCGAGCCCCGCTCAGTCTGTCGCTGTCGTTGTGTCCTTGGGCAAGACACTTCACCCACGTTGCCTGCTGGTGGTGGTCAGAGGGACCGGTGGCGCCAGTGCTCGGCAGCCTCGCCTCTGTCAGTGTGCCCAAGGGCAGCTGTGGCTACATCGTAGCTCATCACCACCAGTGTGTGAATCTGTGTGGGAGTGGGTGAATGACTGATTGTGTTGTAAAGCGCCTTGGGGGGTTCCAGGACTCTAGAAGGCGCTATATCAAATACAGGCCATTTACCATATTGATCTGAGATGGAAAATGCATTCCAGGAAGTCCTCACTTCGTCTCCATTGGATTTCCTGTGAGGATCCTTTAAAGATTTCTAAGAATCCAAAGAAAACCTCAGACCTTGAGTCTTCCTTAAGGTGAAACTTCTCAGGTATAAATCACGTAGTGACTACGTTTACACAGATAAATGTATCTAAGTCTCTGCCTTATACAGTGTTGGGGAGAATACTTTGTACATTTATTTACTTACAGAACAATGAATTCCTGCTTTAAAAGGTATTTTGTAACGTAGTCCGTTACTTTGGATAATCCTGTATTCTAAATACTTGGAATACTTTGCCTTAAAAACAGCATTTAAGTCTTTTAAATGTCACAACATGCATTGGTAGCTACTCTAAATAGAAGGCATATTAATGCTAAACATTATGCACTGACTGGGAAAAAACAAATAAAACAATTTAATTATTTTAGTAACTTTTTTATCAAAGTGTCAATAGATTATATTTCTGTTTTTGTAATAAAGTGAAACTTTTCTATAGAAACTGCTAACCAACTCACAGCATGTTTATTTAGAAAAAGGATGTATTATTTGATGTTTTATGTAGTTCTGTCACAATGTAATGGCGGACTGCCCCGCTGACTGACATCCATAGCGGACCAACCACAGCCTTCTATTGGTTTGGTGGACCAATTGCAGCAATCTGTTGGTGGGCGGGATGTTACTGATACAAAGATAGCAACGGCTCGTTTGAAACGGCTTCATCAACTTTGGACTATTTAGACACACACACACACACACAATTACCGTGCTGCCAGAAACAACAAAGCAGGATGCAATATCAGAGTCTCCCAAAGCAAGGCTGCTCAGGCCGCTTTTGTTTAATAATGTAGACACTGCAGACTTCTCCACGCTCTTTTGCTCCGCCCACGTGTTCGGAGATGCGCTCATGACATCACAGACCACCTCTTTTGCTAAATCACGTCCATATTCATAAGGCAGTGTGGAACGAACGCGGCTGGGCTGGGGCGGACAGAGTGGAGTGAAGCGGAGTGGAGCCGATGCTAGTGTGTTGGCATGAGTTTCACATACAAGCTAAATGTGGAAATGGTCTTCTAAGCCTATTTTCTGCATCAGACATTAAAAGAAAATAAATCAGGAAATGCTCATGTCAGAAAAGCCAGTCAATTCCATGTCGTAATGTCCAATAGCATTCAAGGAATCACCCATCTTGGCTCATCTCCAGGAAGGCTCATGTTGATTTAGCATGCAGGAGAGAGCGTCTTGGATAGTAGAAGCTAACCATTAGCATTAGCAACCCCACAACATGACAGAATTCTTTCACATTGCAGAGCAAACAGAATCAGCGGTAGAATCGCGTTGCTGTTACCAATCAGGTGTCAGATGTCTGAATATCAGGAATACTGCTTTGTTCTGCGCTGCTCTCATCTGGCTAACCTCTACTTCCTGAAACAGGAACACCAGAGCTTTTCCCCTCACAGAGATCAACTCACAAGGCATTCATTTATACCTGAGACCACTGCAGAGGTGTTGAAGAATGAGTGAACTTGGTCTTTAACTGATTGTTCTCATTGTTTCTTCAGGGGGGGATGTATGTATTCCAGCTGTTTGATTACTACTCTGCCAGTGGCATCACTCTGTTATGGCAGGCCTTCTGGGAGTGTGTAGTCATCGCATGGGTTTATGGTGAGTTTACACCTCGTAGCTACAGAAAAAATGTTGTTGAACTCTACAATCACAGCCTCCTCTACACTCCAGGGGCGGACCGTTTCATGGACGACGTGGCCCGTATGATTGGTTATCAGCCCCTACCCTACATGAAGTGGTGCTGGTCCTACATCACGCCTTTTGTCTGTGTGGTACGTGCAGCTTCACATGCAGTAAGCCACACCTTCATGCATAAAACTAATGAGACCTGTGTGTGTATTAAGGGAGTGTTCCTGTTCCACGTGGTGAACTACAAGCCTCTGACCTACAACACAGTGTACACCTACCCCATCTGGGGCGAAGCCCTCGGATGGGCCCTGGCTCTGTCTTCTATGCTCTGCATTCCTGTTACTGTTCTCTATAAACTGCTGTGCTGCAAAGGATCTCTCCAGGAGGTCAGTTCTCATGCTCTATTCACTAAATCAGGAATGTATCTCCTTGGTTCTGTTTTTTGTGTGAGATAATTTCGTTGCTAGAAGAAGTGGTTTGCCTGATTTTTTTTTCTTTCTTGCAGCGCTGGCAGCACCTCACCACCCCAGTTTTGGGCAGACATCACCTGGAGTACTTGGCCCCGGAGAGTGAGGCCAAACTGCTGCCCCTTACAGGAACCAAGAATACCTTGCTCTTTGAAAGTGTCATCTGATTTTCCTGAGCTTAAAACCACACACACACACACACACACACACACACACACACACACACACACACACACACACACACACACACACACACACACACACACACTACCACCACCACCAGCCTAATGAAAAGTTAACACACAGTTAGGAACACATCCCACAGTTTTAAAGCCTGGAAAAATGGACCAAAGATTACACTGGAACCGAAACACACACCTCATCCATGCATTCATACACTCTGCTCTTTTCCTGCTCTACCTGCTGGTCCTTTGCTCTCTCTCTCTCCTTCCACTGCCTTTGTGCTGTCTTGTTCCATCCCGTCCTGTGGTGTGTTTTGTGTCTGCGATATCTTCCCTATTTGCACTTTTTTGTCAATGTTTAAACAGCCTCATCTCTCTGAAACCTTCAGGGTGTTTGGACCTAAAAAAAAAAACTGACATCACTATATCATCATATATTAGGGGTGGGAATTTCAATTAATTAATTAGAAAGAAACAACACGTTAAAAAGTTCCCGCTTGGGCCCGCGTGTTTAGCATCAAAATCAAGCTGTACCTCCGAGACCACAGAGCCTGGGCTACAAAGTTATGTAAACCTTTTTACGTTCTCCAGGCACAACTAAAACTACAATTAAATTAATCATAATAAATCACTCTTCATCAAGAAATGAAAGAGAAAAAAACATCTTTTTGCTGTTGTGTATTTTAGTTGGTAGAAACAGGCAGGCAGAAACTGTATCCATGTGAACTTTATTACAGCAGGAGGGACCAGCATTCATCTTGGAACCCTCAGCAGAACTTCCTCAGAACTCTACACTGCACCTCTATTATCAGTGCTCTGCTGCCACCTAGTGTTCGGTTCACTACACAACATTTACAATGTTCCGGGTCAATTTACACTTCAATTAAACATATACTGATATTTACACATCCCAGCAAATTCCACAATGTTTACCTTTATAATGAGAACAAAGTAATCAAATAGACCTTGTGGTTATATAGATAAACACATTAAAGTGTAGGAATGTCATCTGTGCCTCACTAACATTATTTTTAATGAGTGAAAAAAATGCTTGAGGGGAAATAGTTTTGAATGATTACAATGTGACGAATCAAGTTTAATTAATTAGAAAGCCTTTAATCAATAAGATTATTTTTTAATTGAGTCCCACCCCTAGTATATAAACAGATGAACTCGTTAAATTTATGAAAGACCTCACAGCTGCTGCTGCTGATACTCACTGTCAGTGTGTGTGTGTGTGTGTGTGTGTGTGTGTGTGTGTGTGTGTGTGTGTGTGTGCCTACATTGTACACCTGTACAGGTTTGGGCATCTACACGTATCTGTACGGAGTGTGAATGTGTGTGTGTGTTGGACCATGACAGTGTTTTCTTCATTTACATGTCACACTGCCTTTGACTGGTAAATTCTGCCAGTTGTGTTCTCTGAATTAAGTGTACAAAAAAAAAACTTCCATTTGTAAGAAAGGAATAAAAAGTGTATTCTAAATGAGAAAACTCATCACCCACTTCCAGCTGTGTATTATAAACTAACTTAAGTATCTTTTTGTTGTAGATCTGTGAGTTCTTGTTATTGTTTGGAGGGGGAAATGGGAATTATTTCCATATCAAAAGAAAGAGAAGCATTTGGTTGAAATGCCGGGAGACTGGATTGTGGGGATGGAAAAGAGAGAGGCAATAAATGATTGGATGAAGATGGATATAATGGTTTGTCTTTATTAAACAATTTCACATAAAAACAAACATTAAATATTTACAGACACACAGAATAAGGAAAACTGCCACGATCACATAAAAACTACATTAAAATTTTGTTTATCAGCACAAATGGCCGTGTTTTGTAGCATAATGCATGGACATTGAAAAAGTATTAGTGAGCAAATTTGATTATTATTTAGAGCTTTCAGTCCACAGAAGCACATTTTATTGTGGCTTTTTGACATTTTAAACATTTTTTTTCAACTTTAATCTTTGAAAGTTGCCAGAACAACTCAGCTGTGACTTTTCTTATGTGAGGTAATACAACAAAACATTCTAATAAACTAATTCAGCTGCGACTAAACCTGATAATAAAAGAAGACTCAAGAGTGAGGAGGGCTACGTTTCCTCTTTGTTTAAATGTAACAGCTATCACACTTATCTCCTCTCAGGTTATTCTTAAAGGACTTTGGAATAAACCAGGAACTGAACTCTGTTCGAGCACTCTCTCTCTCTCTCTCTCTCTCTCTCTCTCTCTCTCTCTCTCTCTCTCTCTCACACACACACACACACACACACACACACACACACACACACTCCTGTTTCCCCTTTCATTCAGCCTTTCATTCTCTCATCCAGGCTATAAATGCAGACTCCCATTAGTCCACTGTTGCATTCTCCCACTCATCCCCTGCCTCTGTGTCTCACACGTTCACCACAGAGCAAGAGAGCCGCAGTGACGTATTGCCTGCCATCTCATTAGACCATATCATAAAAAGCCCGTTGCCACAGCAACAGTCCCCTGTGTTCCCATGACAACCACCTGCCATGTCAAGGTGGGTGCATTTTCCACCACAGAAAGGGGGGAGGAGACATTGGTGACCAATGGTGAGCAAGGCAGAGGAGAGGGAGGAGGAAGAGGGGGATGAAGATGGCCGAATTTGAAGTAATGTGACCCCTGCTGGTCACATTTGAGTATCACAAGCAGTACCCTGGATAGAGAGAGGATTAGGCCTGCATGAGCAAAAATGTAAGTTTGTGATCATGAATGTGATGAAGATCCACTTACAGTCATGGAGTCAGTCTGCTCCCGCTTCCTGAGAACATGCAGCACTGCGTCATGAACCGAGACAAACAGTATGCTCTTTGGGACGAGCTCAGAGAAGAAGTCAGCCTTCTCCAGCTGCTCCACCACACACACTAATATTTAACCAGACAACAACAACAAAAATGCACACATATTTTTGATTTTTTTCTGTCACATGGGAGGAATGTGACCAAAGCCGGGACCTTGAATTTATCAGCCATCTGTTTTGTCTGGTGTGGTCGTTACCTTGACAGCTTGCTAGATAGATGTCCATATCAACTTCTTTAAATTCCCTGAAAATCTGGAATTTCGTAGAAAAAATTTAAAACAACTAATTGTTAGAGTGTAGATTAAACTCTTGCCCAGAAAATAACCATCTCAAAACACGTACAGTTTTCATAAATTTCACGGTGACCGTGTCCACAGAGCTGGTTGTGGACATGTCCAGGATGACACTGTGAATGTCTGATCTGAAGGTACTGGTGTCATCTCCTTGATAGAGAACCTCTGGGGCCTCATCAGTGTGGGAGCTTGAGTCTGAATCTGAGTCTGACATGTTGGTGTCCGCTTGGTAGGCCCAGTTCACCTGACCTTTACTGGGACTTGTGTTTGTCAGGTCTAAAGCCACTTCTGTCTGGTTACACTTCTCCTTTGTTACTGCACATTCGTTTCCCCCGTTCAGCTCCAAATCCCTCAGAGAGTTGAAAGTATTGTTCAAATGGATCATGGTTTTATTCTGCTAAATTAAAAGTAAAAGCAACAATCAGAAAAAGTAAAAGTAGCTTAAATAATCAGGATTTTAGCATGATCTTTTGTATCCCACACCTTTTTCTTTGCCTCCTTTTTGTTTTTCTTTTGCTCACACCTCTGCCTTGCATCTTGTTTCTTCTTCTCTGCTTGCATCTTTGCAAATTCAATTCCACTCTGCAAGAAATGTCCAGGGGTCACAGTTAGGATAGAGAAAGTGAGACAGATTGAAAAGATCTGGAAATCAAATGAAGCTGCTGATAAGGCCCACACACACACACACACACACACACACACAAACCTTCTCCTGAAGGAATTCCCTGTACATCTCAGCATTTGTGAAGTTAATGGTTGCTGATGAGCGGATGATTTTTATTCCTGGAATCTCTCTGGCCTGCGCGGGAGAATTTGAAAAGAAAATTAAAGACACATCTAGTAAATTGCTGTTTTGTAAACTAGACTAATAAATAAAAATGCATAAAGCAGCTATTGTTCTGTAAATATGACCACTTATTAAAGTCTGAATGTCTTTATCGATACATCTAAAACAGTTTATACGAGTACATCTGAGGACTTCATCTGAGGAGTTATCTTTCCAGGTTTAAACAACTTTGCCTTTAATTCTCTGTGGACGTGTGTAATTCTGAGTATCGTTCTCACCGCCCTGTAGGTCTCCATGTCTAGATACAGGTCAGTGTCTGGTACGTTGCCCAGGATGGAGTAGCGTGGCCTGAAAGGAATGAAAATGCCAGAGTTACAACAAGCTTCCCTCTGAGAGCTGTGACTGTTTGTTTTTTCTACATCAATAATTAATGATCAGAAGGTTGTTACACTTGTGCTCTGAAGATGATGGTGAGCATGGAAAAGCCGATGGAGACAGCCAGACCCATGTCCAGATTGAGCAGGATGGTACTAACAAACGTCACCAGCCACACCAGCTGCATGATGGGAATTTACCAGTCCATCAGTGGACTCCAATAGTGCAACAAGAGGAGCAGCAGTGGATCAGGAAGATTAAATCTCACCAGGTCAACCTTGTTGGTTTTCCACAGCAAGGACATGTCCATGAACTGCTTAAACATTCCTTTCAAATTCACAAACACGATGGTGGACAAGACGGCCTGAGGAATAATACACACACACACGCGCGCGCACACACACACACACACACATATGGCTTACTGCGTCTGAATCATCAGGAGTGGTGCTGAGAATGAAAGGTGGTTGAAACCAATACCTTGGGGAGATCTTCAAACAAGGAACCGATTTTCAAAACTGCGATCAGCACAACTACTGAAGAGACCACCCCTGCAATCTGATACGACAGAAGAACACAGAAGTTAGTTAGTGCTCTCTAACTAAACACCATAATCAAACATACACACACACATTCTACTGCTAAACCTGAAGTGAAACGCTTTAATCAGCTGACCTAAATGAATGATATGTAGATTAAGATCAAATTATATTCAAGGCATCTCTTTAAGACATGTTATCTTTATGAAACCATTACAGTGCACTATATTCACACTCTGATCATATAGACATTTGCTTTACTTGTGTCCTTCCCCCAGTGCTCTCCTGGACAAGACTCCGAGACAAAGAGGAAGTCACTGCGTAACACCAGAAACAAGCACCGATGGCGTTGCAGAGCCCCACTGCAACCAGCTCCTAGAAAACAGAAATCAGTTATATAAACATTAAACACACATACAGGCTTGAAAAAAGAGGACTGTTGACTCTGATAGGATATGATCTCACAGTGATCCACTAAAAGAGATTTAATTTGATGTAAACATCAAACCCACGATCCAAAGTTGACATGATTATTTAAACTTGCATGTTGGTTTGTTGTGCATTTTCTCCCTGATCTGGACTGAACCTCTCTGAGCGCTGCTGCCAGCATAATTAAGACACTTTACTTCAGAAAGCTTGTTGAGCATTAATAATTTAATCACTTAGAGGCTTTGAGTGCTCCCAATTTGTCTCTCACCGCAGTGGGAGCATGCTTGACTCAGGCCCAACATGAAACCGTGTGTATAATAATAATAATAATAATCGGAAGGTTGCAGGTTCGAGCCCCTCTAACTCTGTCACTGTCATTGTGTCCTTGGGCAAGACACTTAACCCACCTTGCCTGCTGGTGGTGGTCAGAGGGACCGGTAGCACCAGTGCTCGGCAGCCTCACATCTGTCAGTGCGCCCCAGGGCAGCTGTGGCTTCAGTGTAGCTCATCACCACCAGAGTGTGAATGTGTGGATGACTGATTGTGTTGTAAAGAACCTTGGGGGGTCCCAGGACTCTAGAAGGTGCTTTATCAAATACAGGCAATTTACAATAATAATGATAATAATAATAATAATAATTATTATTATTATTATTATTATTATTATTATTATTATTATTATTATTATTATTATTATTATTATTATTAAAATAACATTGAAAATATATTTATCATTAGGGAAAATTAGATGAAAGAAATACATCTAAAATATTTTTATGCAGTTGCAGTTGCAGATGCAGTAAAAAATAAAAATGTTTATATATCAATATATTTAATATTAAGTTAAAAATCATGCTAATTAATAAATAGTACATAAATCACTTAAAATAAAATACAAAAATCACATTTAAAACACGTTTGTATTTCTAGATGTGTTCAAATGTAATTTTGTGATGAGACTGTTCACTTTTTGAGCCATGGTAAAAAAAAACCTGCTTTTCTGTTGAAATATATTTTGTACAACTTTCAGATAAACTAAATTTTATAAATAAAATCAGTATTTTTATTTACTTTTTGATACAAGGATTTGACAAATCACATCTGAGATGGGACACATTTTCTGAAGGTTTTATTGTTTGAAACAATTTTAAATTCTGCGCTTTTGTGTTTTGGGTTAAGTTCCTTAGAAAAGAAGCAAAGTGCATTTAAATAAAATAAAATCATGGTTATAGTTAAAAAGAAAGAAGTTCAGTTGGCTGAGAACTATCAGCTGCAGAGGTGGGAGCAAGGCATTTTACCACAAGTCTCAAATAAGTATGGAGTAAGTAACAAGTCACTTGTAAGTTCCGAGGCATATCAAGTGACATCCAGGACTAGAAATTCTTAGTCCTAAACAATCATTTAATCATTTAATTTTACAGAAGGATAAAAAATGATTTCCAAAACAACAAATGCTTCGTAAAGAATGTTTTCATTTGACAGAACAAGCAGCGAATGCAACTTGATCCGAAATAAAGTGAGTCCTGATGTTGCAATTCCCGAGAAACATTAATATTTTATGTTCAACCTGTATCAAGTATTTCAAGGCTACAGGCTCAGGTCCAAGTCATGTTACGGATCACGGGTCAGAGTCTGAGTGGTGTCGAAAGACTTTTGTGATTTCTTCAAGTCCAGTTTAAAAATCTTTAGAAACATTTAATGATGTATTATTTGGATGTTGCTCATGTGTCTTTTTGTAAATTTAACATCTGCATTTTATTGGTGGACCATGGCATTTTACTTTCTCATTTGAAGCAGAGGGTGCATGAGGGATGTGCCCCTGAAGTGGTGCAGGCCTCCAGCATGGAGGAGAGAAGTTTTTGAGTTAGACCGTTTGTCCTACCCAGGTCTTCTCTTTTGTGGTATCCCACAGGATTCCGTTGTAGGCACCCAGCTGTTCTTGTGTTTTATTTATCGTATATAATGAATGCAATTACATCTTAGTTATTGCTCTTTACTGAAATTGCTACAGAGCACTTTGGTCCAGTGCTGGTTGATTTAGTGTGCTTTAAAAAAAGTTGGATTGGATTCAATACAGCGAGAGACACTTCAGTTAGTTTAGTTAGCTGTCAGACCGCCCCAGAGCGGCTGTGGCTACAAAGTAGCTTACCATCACTAGCAGTGTGTGAATGTGAGAGTGCATAAAAGCATCTTTGAGTGTCCTAAAAAGCGCTATATAAGTTTGATGTATTACTATTATTATTTTTTGTTGCCTTTATCCTCTGACAGTTTCATGATCAGAATACAATAATATTTCTGAACATCATTTGGGGGAAAACTAGCAAAGCTGAAAGAGTCTGTGAAGGTTTGTGAGTGGATTTCTTCCTGCCTTTGATGTTTGATCAGGACCGACCTGAGTCATGTATTTGCTGACGTGGCAGTCCTGACTGACAGCGCGGGATTAAAGTTTCACATCGGGACAGCGATAGAGATCAAACCTTCAGTCAGCTGTGTCTCTCACCTGATTGCTGTCCACTTTGTAGCCATGTTTGAGGGCGAACGTTTTACCCAAAGAAATGGTGATGGCATAACCCACGATGGCCACAGCGAAAGCATCACCTATAATCTGTGAAAATAAAGTCGGATCAGGAGCACGAGGGGCCTTGAGCCTGGAGCAAAAGAAGCAAAGAGGGGTTCAGGATTTGCTGTAATCACAAACAAACTGCCACCATTTCTAGAAGCCCAACTCAAGAAGCTTTTCTATGATGTATCAAAATGTAAGCTTTTCTTCTCTTTTACTTAGAGAAACTCAGCTTACATAGAGATTTTCTCCTCACATGAGATTTTCCACAAGGTTTCAGCAGAAACCGCAACTGCACACACATTGTGCTGCTGTTTTTATTATTATTTTTTGTCTTAATTATAGCTCAGCATTTCTGGCAGTTGTGACCTGTGGGGTTTTTGTGTCTGACTTCCTCTTTCTTTTTAACCCACAGATACTTTACAAACCCATGAAGAAGAACTCACCCACTGGGAATCTCTCCAACCACATCCACGCGGTACGTAGCGGGGAGGCCGCAGAAGTGGGTGATGATTGTTGCTGCTATGATCTGTTTTGGGGGATAAATGCAAAAGCAGAGTTGGTTTATATTAGCAAACTGAGTCAATTATTATTTTTCACTTTGGATCTTGCTCAGATAAGTGGGATCATTGTGCCCCCTGCTGGACTCAACACAGAGTGCGAGTGACTTACTACTAGGAGCTCGATGGGGAATGGCAGGGGAAGCTTCTGTCTGTGGCGTTCATTGATTTCTTTGACCACAATGAGAACCGTGATTGCCACCAGGCTGATCACCAGCTCTGGAGCCCTGGTCTGAGGCAGCAGTTTGCAAATATCCACCAGAGTCTGTGAGAAGAGAAGTTCAGGGAGGAAGCAAAAGTCACTGATGGAACAGCTGGAAATCCAATAAATGATGGCCAGAAACCTTTAAGCGATCAGTTTGTTTTATTTCATTGTGTTTTTCACTGCACAAAGTCTTTTTTAACTCACTAATTTTGTACATTTTGAGCTGCTGAAGCAGTTTCTTTTTTATTTTTATTTTTTATGTATCCATGCAAACAACATGTGAAGTTTATCACCAGCAGGATGTGGCTGCAGTCATCCAGTTTACCTTGACTTGTCACCAGGTAAACCTTTAAAAAAATGCTATATCTGTTTTGTTTTGTTTTTTCAAAAAGAAAAAAATAACACAGGTAGGAAATACCTGCTCCCAGTTGTCAGTCCAGTAGTGAAACAATTACCTCACTGTCACATGCAAGAGCTTGTCAGCTGACTGCTGTGTATATTTAGATACTTCAGTGTTCAGACATTATGGTTTTGTAGCTTTTAGCTGCAGATTTGCAGGATGAAAATGTTGCAAGATAATGAATTTGCACAAGCGATGGTGGGAACTACATTAACGTTTAATCCTTTAAGGTGGATAAAAAGGCACTATTATCTTAAATGTTAAGGTTAATGGCCCACACGTACATAGAGCATTTTAAACCTAAACCCAGGTTCTGCAAAGTGCTTTTCAATAGTTTCTCACTCACCATCCACATTAACTTATGTAATGTTTTTATATTTACCCACGATCCTCTAACTGAAAGATGACCTCAGTACGATTGTGTTAATGCACCTGCGACATCCTCAGCTCCACCCAGCTTCTTTCAGCCGAGTGGAGATTACAACTTCACAATTATTAGAACGAATATGAACGTCAGAGAAATAAACCTCTTATTTAACCCAGGTGATGGCTTTTTATGTATTGAGACTTCCTGTCCACTGTGCTTGTTTCTGGTCCAGCTTGTGTTGATGCAGCAACCACAGAGAGGTGTGTCACAAAAGGGGGAAAAGTAAGTATTTATTTGGAACATTAAATACAAAAAAAAAAAACTTTACAAAAATAGTTTCATCAGCTTTGAGTTTTACACATGCATCATATGAAGAAAAAAAAACCTTGTGAATAAGATTTGCTTTTCTTTTTAGGAAACACATTTTCAAATATTTTTAAAATACAAAAAATAAAATCAGTTAATGTGTAGGATTTAAATAGGAATCCATATCAGAACTTCTTAAGGGGAAATAAGCTTTCAAATGTCATACTTACGTAAATAATGGCAAAAGGACCAGCGAAGCGAGCTGGTCTGACTCCAAACAGGTACTTCAGCTGGGACACACACACATGGCAAGCCGCTGCTGTGGTGTAGCCTCGAGCAAGAGGCTCTGACAGGTAGGTCACCACAAATCCAAACCTCACTATGCCCAGCAGGATCTTTGGATGGGAAACCAGAGTTACTCACACATTATTTTTAGTAAAGTCATTGTGTTCTGGGACACACACCTGAAAGATACCTGCCAAGGCGGTGAGGGAGCAGGCTACTTGGACTCTGTACGAGTCTCTTGCATCAATGTTCACAGTCCTGTTGGTGCCGTTTGTCATAAAGTCACTGTCTGGCGCCAGTCTCTCTGTCACGCCCCCAACCATGATGCTGATGACAGCAAATGTACCTGCACCCACAAAATTCTGCCATTTTAGGCTCAGAGACAAAAGTTTACTCTCTTTTTTTTACTCCTGCATGTTCCCACTCACCTATGGAGATGTGCCTGGAGGTGCCAAAGATGAAGTAGATCAGCACCGGGTACAGGGACGTGTAAAGTCCAAACACCGGGCGTACAGAGGCCAGAAATGCGTACGCCATGCCTGGTGAAAAAAAAAGCTACGTAAGCGAGCCTGTTCTCCATCAAAATCCATGTTATCCAAAGTGTTAAAGGATAAAAAATGTATTGAAACTGGTTTAATATGTTTTCTTTCAGGTGTGTTGGACCCCCCACTCCTCCTCTTAAAAAGCAATGAGTCAGACCTCTTGGAGTGAGTTAATTTTTCATCTTGTACTTTTTAAACATTGATGTGTAAAACACTAAAGCTATATGTTGGTTTTCGTGAATAAACAGGCTGTCTTTTATGAATAACCAGGTTTTTTAATACATGCAGCAACAATATAAAACAAGAAATGACCCACAGCTGTGCTTGAGCACCACATGAATAAAAATCTCATTCAAGCACGCACTTTGAGTTTTAATGCGAAAACCACACATTTTTAATAGAAGTTGTTCGTTTCGTCTTCCAGCCGCTTATGTTATGCTACATAAATGACCACTTTCAGGATACTGTAAAGGTGCGCAGACCAAGATTTCTTTCTTTCACATTTGCCTCGGCTGACCCAACCTTACCCCTTTGAGTTGTGATTGTGTTGTTTTCATCAAACCACAGAACAAACAGGTTCAAGAAGTCCTTTATTCCAGCAAATGTCAGCCCCATGAACGACAGCATGCATAGGTTAATGGTGTTTTATGTTGTTTTAGTTCTTGTTGTAAATCAAATGGCTCAAATGGATTATAAATATTATTACCTTGAACCTTTACAGGAGACATGTTATGCATCTTTTTGTGCTGCCGTGTGGGTCTCTATTGCCTCTATCAAAACTACAAATGTGAATTAAAACGGTCCATCTGTGTTTGTCTTAAGGCCGAGGCAGCTTTATGTTTGTTCCAAACCCAACAGCTGCTCCCAAAAACATTAAAATGTAAAATGAGAAGTCTGACCAGGTCTTAAATGCATTTGCATCAACGCTGTGGTCTCACCAGTGTGCGTTTAAACATGGATACAAACCCTGTGGCAAATGCATAATGCCCACACTGCAGCCAGATATCAGGTCGCCCATGGCATTTTCTCTGAATGAGTAACCAGGCAGCCAGGCCAGAATGGGAATCCAGGTCAGAACCATGTGCTTCAGCTTGGGCACAGAACACCTGCAACACACACACACACACACACACACACACACACACACACACACACACACACACACACGCACACGCACACGCACACACACACACACACACACACACACACACACACACACACACACACAAATATGGGAATATACTCCAAACTTTGCTCTTTGGTTTTCAAATTAATTTGGTTTAAAGTTGAAAAAGGCAGCAGTTTGTGTTCAGTCTGCTTCTGAGTGACTGTTTTTTAAAAAAGGAGACAATTCAGAGTTGTGAACTGTACCACCTGCTGCAAATGTTATCAGCTGACCCTGAGAATCTGCAAAACCACTGTTTGTTGTTGTTAGACTAAGTATAGATGTGCACGCCTCTGCAAAAAATATGTATTAGAGTCTTTCTCAGGGGAGGTTCAGAAACGTTTCATTTATTTAAAAACAGTAGCAAATTAAAACCATTTCTTGAGTTTTAAAATTAGGATTCTGTATTTTACATATTTAAGGAATCTTGTATTCCTTCTTGTGTTGTGCACCACACATACACACGTTGAGTTTATTAACTTACTGAAAGATGGTTAATAATAATAAAATAATAGAATAGAAATAAATACTTCAGGTAACATCTCTATGTGTCATTCACTGAAACAGAACTCCTTATTTTTTATATCAAAGTGAAATCCAAGTCAGCTTGTGCTGTGTGTGTGTGTGTGTGTGTGTGTGTGTGTGTGTGTGTGTGTGTGTGTGTGTGTGTGTGTGTGTGTGTGTGTGTGTGTGTGTGTGTGTGTGTGTGTGTGTGTGTGGGTGGGTGGGTTTTCCTGTGCCTCCTTCCTCCTCTGTCTTCTCATCTGATTTTACCTGAGCGACTCCCTCACCCTCTCCCCCACAGTCGGTTTGGTGGACCATGTCCCTTTTTGAGCCACTTCATCCAGACGATTCTCATCGAGAACCTCACGGTGCACAACAAAGTCACCAGAAGACCAACATCTGTCCGCCATGTCCTGGTATATTTGAGCAGAGTCAGCTGACCTCTGGGAAGCTGAAAGTCTGTGTGAGTCCCTGGTCTCTGCTCAGGAGTCTAAGTGAACTGAAGACCTGTATCATCTATCACCAGCGCTTTGTTCACCAGTTTCTTTTTTAAACTGTACCGGCCACTCCTTTCCTGTCCTTTTATGGGCCAACACACACACCCCACACATCTGATGTACTCACACACACACCTCAGCTAATGCAGCCAAACTGGTTATTTTCCCCTAACCTGTAAAACGTGATGCAAGGAGATGTACGGAAACACCTGCAGATTTAGCCAATCCTGCATGAGAATCTGAAATGTTTAAGAGACTTTGCATCTTCCAGAAAGTGCTGACCCACTGTGGTTGTTGTGTTTGAGGGTATGAGCTAGTTTAACTGAATTATCTTATCTTTACAGCCTCCCAGCATTCTGCTCTGAAGACATGAAGTTAGGACATTTTTATTTTTATTAAGAAACTTGTGACCCAATGTGCCACCTGGTGGCTGTTTGATGTTTTTTCATGAACTGATTTTTGCACCAAAACATGGCTTTTAAAACAACGTTAAATTAGATTTTAAATTAAATTAAATTCACATGTTTTTGGCAGCAAAATCTCTATGGATCTGTGCTGCATGCATGCTTTATTTTATTGAAGGTGTCATTCATACAAACTTTGAGGAAGTGTTAAGATGAAATCACAGGGTTAGGGTATTCATACATCAAAATGAAAAACAATTTTTTTTCTATGCAAACATTGTAAAATGAACTATTTATATTCTTTATATTTACTGCTTTACTAGTTTAATTTTTATTTAACGAAAAAGATTCTAGCAATTGAGGTTCCCCCTAACGAAAGGTTCTCACATCATAACACAGGAACAGCTCCTTCAGCAGGTATCTGCAGCTTGTAAACCTTTCTCCAGGACAGCGTTTATGCCCCCTGTCCTTAGTTGGCCCATTGTTCAGTCGTTTTATTTCCAGTGCCATCTAGCACATATTCACATTTGTTCTCATCCACAGATTTGTTAAACTATATTTTTATTATGTTTTAGTGAAGTTACGTCACCATCTCTTTGTAAATGTTGTAAATTTGAGGTGTGTTAGGATCATGATCTTATTTAAATCAGCTTGTTTTCAGCTTTGGTATAGAAAGAGATGATTGTCGGTTAAATCTTAAGGGTGAATAACTGAATTAATCCTTTATCTTTCTGTGAAACACTTCACTGCAGACATGAAGGATGCTAAAATCAAATCACATAATCGTCCAGTTGCAGAAACATTTATTCCTGCTGTGACAGACGAGCAATTATGATTAGAACCTTACAGAGAGAACACTAAGCATGTTTATTTAGACATGTTTGTGGAACAGTTATGTTGAAGAGGACTTAGCAGTGTAAGCTTGTCTCTGTAAATTACTTTTTAATGCAACGTTCATGTGTAAAAGAGTATTAAATAGCATTTAAATGAACCACTTTGAAGTTGTTGACACTGGAGTTGTTTAAACATGCAGAAATCCACTTTGGATCTGTTTCTGCAGTGGTGAGTCATTAGCCTCTTACCAGTGGTGTCCTCTAGTTTTGTGTAGTGGGTATACTTTGATCTCAGAACTCTGATTTCCTTTTGGCTTGGGTGTCAAAACGACAGCTTCTCAACCAAGTTGTAGCATAGTGCCTTGGTTCAAAACTACCTCAAGGAGGCCCATTGATGCTGATCATCACTTGGTACATTTGACAACAGCAGATTAGATCTTTGTCTGTACAAATATTACTAATAAGATGGAAACCACTTTCACATTCAGCAGCGCTGCAAGGGACGGTCTGCATGCATCGTATGAGTGGCTTTAGGCTTTCAAGCTCTTTCTGTGAGTTCTCAAGGAACCCTAACACAACAGCCTCCTCTTGACAAAGACTGAACCACCTGCATTTGCTTAACCTGCATCTCACTATGCTGACTGCTGACTGTAGATGCTGTGGATCTTCTCCATGAACACCTAGAAATGATTCACTGCCTGAACCTTATCCACAGCATCAGATACAGCCAGGTGATTCATGCAGTGCAACGTAAAAAGATCAGGGAATCTTGCAGCAAGCCTGGTTGCCACACCAGTTTTGTTGCCTAGAATGACCCTGGTACTGTCAGAAATAAATGACACCTTTTTCTGAAGCTATTCTTCACAGAAGCCTGCAACGTTCAAACAGTTCAACAGAGCTCCCTCTACCAGCTGCATTTTGGCTTTCCAGCTAAACTAAGTACAGAAAAATAAATCAGGCGTAGCGCTATCTATAGAAGCTTTCACACTGACAATCACGGCAGATTTTTGGCTGAGAGATGTAGCCTCGTTAATGAAAACAGATGATTTGCTTGAAGAGGACACTATAGTGACAACAATGGTTCTTTTGCATCTCCTTTGAAATGTGTTGCACAAGTGCTGTGGAGCTGTACCATGAGTGCAGAATAGAGCCCACGTTGACACCATTTCTTTCCTGAAGCTCAATGAGTTCATGATGGTCAGTGAATGGTCTGTTCTGAATACAGCACGCTATGTCTCAGCCAGCTCAGACTCTGATAAGAGGCCTTACAACACCGCCAAGTAAACCCTGGCTACCCTTTTCAGTCAGCTCCTAAGTGTTTTCATGTGTTGTTGAATTATGTTAAAGCTGTTTGTCTGTCAACTGTGCCTGAGGACTGGATTTTAAAGGATACCCACTCCTCAGATGCAGACACCCATCTCTGTGAGAATAGCAGCTGAGTTTGTTGCTCTGCAGACACCCCAGAGGGAAACAAAAGCGCCAGTAATTATTAAAATACAAGTTGTTGTTTTGTATCTAAAATTAGCTTTAAGACCTGCTGAACAGGCCAGTGATGACCTCTGGAAAAGTTCTTGCCACCTCACACTCTAGTAATATGAGGAATACACTAGTGCGTTGTTGTTGCATAAATAGCTGAATTTGCGTTAGAAATCTTGCTCCTCCCTTACCTGATAAATGGTGTTTGGATCAGATAAAGGAGGAATTGAAACTTTCTGCCCTCCCTTTGTTTTGTAAGAAAGGGGAAAACCTACTTTAAAAAGAGGAGGCAGCCTCAAGTTTCACTCTTCTATCACCTAAACTCCAGCTTTGAACATAATTCCCAGAAAGTTTCACTGTAATTCACACCTTTATCTGATCCAAATACCTGACGGCCAAACACAACAGGGTCTGACAAAGTCAATGACTCCTTTAGTGGGTAGGGAAGAAGAAGAAGAAGAAGAAGAAGAAGAAGAAGAAGAAGAAGAAGAAGAAGAAGAAGAAGAAGAAGAAGAAGAAGAGGAAGAAGAAGAAGAAGAAGAAGAAGCATTTTTTTATGTAACGCCTCTCAAGATAAAAATCACACGGCGCTTCACAAGAACAAAAAGACTTAAAAATATAATGAAACTGAGAAAATTTGAATTTTTTAAATTAAAAACATGAGGAGGAAGAAAGAAAATTAATAGAGGGTGATTCAAATACAATTTCAGTCAGTTATACAGCATAATAAGCTAGCACATACCAGTTTGAACTGACAAAGCCCCCAGATGAAAACCGAAATGTTTTCAAGGTTTAAGGGACCAAAGATGTCCACTTGTTTAATTTCAGATCTAGGATCACCATGACCTGGATGACTGAGGACCTTCCCCAATCAAGACAAATGGAGCCAATAACTGAAAAGGAGGTTACTGCCACAGTGGGTGATCGTAAGGGGAAAACATTCACAGACTGGAATGTTTTTATGCCTTTTTTTTAATTCACTGATGGTGATGAACTACAATGTAGCCACAGCTGTCCAGAGACGCAATGACTGAGGTGAGGTTGCTGAGCACTCAGTCCCTCTGACCACCACCAGCAGGCCACGTGGGTTATATTGCCCAAGGACACAACGATCCCGTGCTGTTGTTTATAACATGCACAATTACCACTTACCATGTTGAATGCCCTCATCAGTAAGCTCCTCTTCCCTACTATCAGGTAAAGTTGCTCTGGCTTCTTCACAGTCTTCAGGCTCCCTTTCCAAAATGCCAGAGATAGCTGCAGCTCTGAAGCAGCAGTACCAACCAGTAGCGGTTTTAGGCACGGGCAGACATTGCCGGGGCGGCATTTTTTCATGACACAAAAGGGGCGCACAGGCGCTGAGTAAAAAAAAAAAGAAAAAGAAACCTGCGCGCCGCACCGAGGGTTTTCTATTATCTGTCATATGACAGTGTCTGGATTGGAAACAGCAAGTTGGCGCCCCCTGCAGCTGCAGGCGCTCCGTGCACCGTGTGTGTATGAAGAAGAGGAAGGGGAGGGGTTACGGCGGGGGAATTCACCTCTGGTGGGTCCAAATGAAATGAGCGGGTAGGGGCTGAATCAACTGTATCAACATGGCTAAAGTCAATCACATCTTGATGTTCTTCCATATTTCATTCATAATATCATCAACACAGGACTATCATTCTTTCAGGTGTTTCTGAATTGTGTGAAATGACCGAATAAAAAAAGGAAAAACAAAACGATTTTGTGGTCACCCCCCATCAAGGTCAAATTGTTTAGTCCTGACTAAAGGAAACTTACTGAGTCAGGAGCCAAACAGAAGAGATGAACATAAAAAGGCTAACCACCAGGTGCCCGATTCAGGGAAAAAAAAGAGGAGAAAGATAAAGGTATGTTCGCTCTCATGATGCATGTTTTCAATTTTTTGAACCAGTTAACTGGGATTTTAACGGTTAAATTCGGTCAACTAATTGCTAACAGAGCTAATAGGGCTGAAATATTGAAACAAATATTCAAATGGTTCGAAAAAATTCCTTGAATCGTTTTTTACTGATTCAAACTAGGATTTGTTAAATGCTCGCTGCAGCCTGTGGCCTGCCTGAACAACAACAAACACATGTTGATCATGTTCACATAATAATAAATAAAACAACTGTACAAGCAGAAGAAAACTCCCCAGTCACCACTAACTATCCTGTTTATTTATTGCAGATGGCTGCACTGATTATTTTTTACCTGATTTGTTCTGTAAAAGTTGGCATTTTTGTTAGTCTACAGTTTTTTTTATGTCAGTTTAAATTACAATTTCAGAGGCAATTCTAAAATATTATGGATCATGATAAAGATCTATTGGAGATCTACCCCAACTTTTGGACTGCTCTGCCAGTCACTGTGGCTCCAGCTGAGAGGAGCTTTTCAAAACTTGATCGTCATACCTGAGGTCAACTATGTTTCAGGGGCGGCTCACTAACCTGGCTCTGATTAGTATCAATCACTCAGTAGGGGAGCAGAT